AGTGGATGGGTGCCGATTGATATGGGGTTTGTCGAGCAGCTTTGAGGTTGTAATGGCTTTTGATTGAAAAATTTGATTGATTGAGGCAGAGGATGTCGTTTAAGTGCTTTTAGAAGCAGAATGGTGTTACAGGATTGTTAGCATCATCTACGAAAAGAGAGGAAAGGGGATTGGAATTTTGACATCTTCTGTTGAAAAAGCAAAGAGGGTTTGATAGGGACTTGTAGGGGAGGGAAGATCAAAGATATAAATGAAATGGCCTTTTCTGGACTGGCCTGTCTTGCTTTGTTTGATAAAGAAGAGAAGGGTTTCTTAATCCAACACTGTTAGATCTGAGATTGTGGGGTGAATAACTGGTTTGTGTGCAGCCTGGAAGTGGACAGAGAAGGGGATACTAAGTGGCTGGGAGGTCTGGAAGAGGAGGAACGGGTGAGACGTTGACCTCTTGCTGGAGCCTCGGACTCCGGAGTCTGGTGAGGCGTGTGGTGCTGGGCCGCAGCTGGATTTTCTTGGAGAGCGGGGCTCTGGGAGAAGTTGTTGTTGCTACTGCTGTTTATATGAGATAGCTATAGCTGCTTTATATGGGATAGCTATAGCTGCTTTCTCTCTCCCCGCTTGACACTTCTTTCTAGCATTAACTGACACATGATTTTCCTGTTTCATATGGAAAATCTTTGCAATATTCATATTAATAACGAGATAGACAGATCCATTCTCCAAACTTGACGTATCCTTTATTATTTGTAACACTTCCTGTTCCCCACTCTCTATGTTCCCCCTTAGATGTCCCATATCACACCAGTTCTTGCTCTTTTACTCCTGTCAGAGTGATAACATTTACATATTTAATAATTATCCATTGTTTTTAATATCAGTTCAAAGTTTTTTTTTTATGTTGTTAATGTTATTCAGTTTATTATGAAATAGAAAAGAACTGAAAATATGCCATTTAGAACAATAACCGACCAAAACAAAGTTTATTTTGAGTTTGTTTTGGTAGGTTGAAACTTTTTGAGTAAGTTTATTTTGGCTCCTAAACATTTGAACTACTATTGGTCTGTGATGATTACGTAGTTGGTTGGTGTGTTCTGGAACCCCACTTTATTTAATGCCATTCAAATACAGACAGTTCAAACTAGTCAGAGAGTAGGAAAACATCCAGCACAACAACACCAAGTCAGCCACATGAATAAACTGAATGGTTAAGAAGCAGAGGTGGTATAGATGTATTATCATTCGCAGAGAGATTTTAAAGACTCAGAGTTACATACAAGATGATAAACCCACCTTTTTGCAATACGTCTGATGAAGTTCTAAACATTTTTCCTTTTGGTGTCTATACGTGACAAATAAAAAAACAACATGGTGGGGCATGCCATGTGGCTCTTCTTTTGTGAAAGGCTGGAAAAGCTTGTTTACCTTATATTAAACTGTTCTTCTTTCACAGCCTCCATTGTTGTTGTGTGTGTTGTTGTTAGAAGTCATCCGAGTGTCATTATACATTGACAACCCTGTTTCCTGCAGCACAGAGGTGTTGGAAAGTCAAAACAGTACCTTTATTCAGCCTTTTCAAACGTCTGTTTGACTTTAAACTGAAAGCCAAAAAACAACTTTGTTTAAAGTTAGCAGGAAAAGGTATAGTCTTCGTTTACTCTCAAATCTGTTATCATTTTCCATCCCTCCACTTTTTCCAAACCTACTTGAGTTTTTTTTTTTTAATCAGTATGATTTATGTTTATTCAATAGATTTCAATCTTTTCAACATTATTCAAAATATCTTCTTTTGAGTTCAATTGAATAAATGCTAAAGAAAGGTTCAAAAGATTTGGAGCACTTGAGGGAAAGTGATGAGTGTCTTTAGAAAGACATGAGATCGCTAGACAACAAATTACTCTGAAGAGTAAGAAAACGGGTCAATGGAGTGCCAAATAAATGGGCAGAGCTCAGCTCCACGCGCCGGTGATTAAGTCATTAACAGAATATATCAGCTGGCACCTGTGAAACAGGCATTTAGATTTTTGCTAAAGAGCCGATCACTCTGCTAACAGTTGGATACTATGCTGCGGCCTTAAAGACATCTCAGGGAAAGTGAGTTACTTTCGTAACCAAGACGTTCCTCTTCATGGGAACTCTGACGTGTGCCATGAGAAAGACATCTGGGAGAGTGTATGGAAAACACCTTGCCCCTGATGTCACTCCCCTCATGTTAAGTTTGCCAAGCATAGTGTGAGCGCACAAGTATCACCAAGGGCGGAACCTTCCAATGTCCCCTAGGCCTTTTAATTACTATTACATGGTAATAACTTAGATGGGGGGTCGTAAATATGCTTTTACCCCGCTAATATAGTCTAGGGATTTTAGAATTGTGACAGTAGGTTGGGAAAGCATGACAGTCCCCAAATGGGCAGGACGCTGCAGAGGCCACCTGCTACACAAAAGGGGAGACTTAATGGCAGTAAGAACATATGGACTAGGCCTATGGAGGTAGAGTGCTACATATGATAAGCTGGATAAGGGGTAGGGAAGACAGGTTTGCCTGAAAAGGACTAACACTCTGTGGCTGAAACAAGCATATAGGGTCACCAACAGGGACCGCACATAGCTGGCACCGAACCCCAACATGTGGGTAGACCAAGGTGGGTATACCAGACATCTTACTGGGCCAGGCATTAGGCTTCTCTACTGAATCGGAGGCAGCAATTGCAGGTTTACTACCTGTTAATTAAAGGGCAGTAGGAACCTTGCCACATAGCTGAGAGTAGGTCGCTCTAAATTTTTGGCACAACTGGCTGACCAAAAATGAATCCTCGCCCTCCTGACAGATACCAACACGACCAGCAGAGCTGCCCTGCTGCCATGCTCTGCTCCTGCCACAAACCAGAAAAAAACAGTATAAGAAGGGAGAGAGTGAGACACGGAGTGACAGCCTTCGGATCTATAGCTGCAACCAATCTCACGAATGAACGCACTGGGGAATGCACTTCTGCATAAACATCTTGACCGGCATCCAGAACAAATGACAGATCAAAACGCACAGATAGGATTGGTCATCGTACCCTGCTCTCTAAGTATGATAAAGTGGGGCGTAGACCCACTCTCCATCTCTGCTGGTGGGACTGGCTTGATTGTATCCTTCGCCAGGAGGATATGAATCTTGCCACATGAGACAGGTGCCATTGGAATGGCCGCTTAAAAACACACCTGTGTTCTCAGGAGGCCGAGAGCAAATTAAAATGCATAGCCGAGTTTGACTAGCGCTGACCAATGCTAACCAGGCTGACAGAGTCCAAACTAGCAGTATCACTGGAACGATCACTGATGTACCCATGGAGGGGCAGCTTCGGGATGAAGAGTGCTCACCCTAAGAAGTTTAGTGTCCCAAGGAAGAGCTGAGAATAAGAGATTGACTCTTACCTTCCTTCCAGGATCCCGCAAAGAGGCTGGAGAGGCAAGAGAAAGGACTCCATCCTCTGGCGCCTTTAAAGCCTGTGGCGAAGTGCACCAAAGCTGATAGCTGGAAGGCAGCACATCCCATGCTGGCAGCAATTAGTCTTCCACAGCCGGAGGGAGGAAAAGCCTCTCTTATTCGGATTACTACATTCATTTGCACGGTTCTCCTCCTCTCCAAGAGGCCTGCCTCAGGTTCGCTTTGAGGTCTGATTACCGGACTTGATGGCTACCTTAGCATCAACTTCCTGCAGGAGGGTTGGGGTGGTGGCAGGGCATGTTTACCAGCCAGTGTAACGAGCTGTGATGGCAAAGCATCTTGGAGTTGCGGGAAAAGTACTTTCGGTAGTTTTCCGAGCCTACCAAGAGATGCCCTGCTCCATCGTGCATGGCTGATCTCTCACTACTGAGGATTCCTGGGTAAAGCCCCTGACAGTGTTGCAGAGTAGGCCTGCTTGAGATATGGGTGCGCCAAGAAAGTGCACCTGGTCAGCATGACACATATCTGTCAGGGTGACCTAAGGGTGGCATTTTCAGACCACTGTGTGGCCATCTTCCTCTCCAGGGCACAGGTGCCCAACTTGAAGGACATGAGGGCATAGTCAACCACCATGCGGTGTTTACACATAAGTCTGGGGAAGAACCGCCCTTGTGGAGCACAGCCAGATGGCATCCAGGGAGCAACAGGGGTAGGTTGGAAGCCGCAATCTCAGCTGCGCAACAGCCATGCCCTCATAGAGAGAGCATGAGCTCTCTATGAGCACTGCATCAACATGGTGGACCCCCAGGTATGTGACGCTGAACCACTGCCCATCATCAGGAGATATGAACCACTGCATCCAGAAAAGCACAGTTGGAACAACGTCTTAAAAAAGATGCGTTGCTCGACCACGTTGCTCTATTAGCATCTGCTCTTTTATTAAAAACTGCTTTTTCATCTACAACCAAAACATCCAGGGGATGGGAAAGGAGCCCAGGTTGACCACTGATGTACACGTCTTCGCACGCACTGGTAGGAATACTGCTTTCTTGACGAAATCAGCTTAGCAGAGGTACTCTTCAGTCTCTAGTATGATGCTCTGAAGCGAAAATCTAAATGCTCGCTTCACAGACACCTAATCGCTGACACCTGTGGAGCTGAGCTCTGCCAATTCATTTGGCATTTCATTGGCCTGTTTTCTTACTCTTTAGAATAATTGGTTGTCTAGTCATCTCCCTTATGTCTTTCTCAAGAGACAAGTTGAAGTTCCCATGAAGGGGAACTATATCTTTACTTCATATTATTGAAATTATAAACTATTGTATTTTTTAGTTTTGCATCTTGACACATAATTATGCATAAATGCTTAAAGCCTTTTTTTAAGATCATTTCCCTCAGCAATGGAAACAGTATGATGGGAAATAAATGACAGTATTTTCAAATTATTTTTAAATAGCATTTTGCAACAATAAAAACATAATAAATAAATAAATAAATAATAAATAAATAAATAAATAAATAAATAAATAAATAAATAAATAAATAAATAAATAAAAATTTTGTTGGTTTGCAGTTGGGCTGGTCCATCGGGCCTGAACACCTGATCAAACACTTACAGACTGTCATGCAGAACAGTTTACATTCCTGTGCAACACCATTACAGGTACGTTCTATAAGTGATATTTGATGGTTGTACTGTAGTTGTGTACTACAACCTTTTCTATACCTTGTGTTTCTGCACAACAGGAGGCTGTTGGCCGGGGACTTCTTCGGGACTATGAGCGGATGGGTCAGCCAGACTGCTACTTCTCGTCTCTGGCTTTAGAGCTGGAGGGTAAAAGAGACCGGATGGCTGCCATTTTTGCTCAGAATGGCATGACTCCAGTGGTTCCTGAAGGAGGATACTTCATGATAGTAGATGTCACAGCGCTCAGTAAGTGCCTTAAAATGATGTACAGTATGTTAGTGAAATTTTATTTACAGAGGCAAAGGTGACATTGGCTGGGGAAGATTCATCTGCTTAGTGTTGTTCTGTCTTAACGGTTGAATCTAGATCAGGATCTGACACATATGGGAGATGATGAACCATATGACTACAAGTTTGTCAAGTGGATGATAACAGAGAAGGTAGGCCCTTTTTTATTTTTAGGAACAATTAACAAACAATAACAAACTTCAGTAAAATATCCATTTATTCATTCATTTATTTAGAAATTGGCTGCAATTCCTGTATCAGCTTTTGTGGGAAAAGATTCTGTAAAGCAGTTTGAGAAATACATTCGCTTGTGTTTTATCAAGGTAAAGATTTATAGTTATTTTATTTAATCTAAAAACTATATTTAGCTGCCTCATATTTTTTGTTTAAAACTGTCTGGATGATGCAGATAATTTTCAAAAAATAACATTAAAAACCTTTGCTAATGGCATGATTTTGACAAATTTATTTTTTTCATTATAGCAAGAAAGCACTTTGGATGCAGCAGAGGCCATTCTGAAGAACTGGAACAAAGGCTAATAATGCTGTAATAAAGTATACAGACTGCTCAGATTTGCAACATTTTGTTTAATCTATGTAGTTGACCTAAGCGGTGGCTTGAGTGAGTTTAGAGTTTGTATTTACAATTTGTTGAACAAGTCATTTTTACAGCTTGTGGGATTGTGAATTGTTCACTTTGAAATTATTTTTCTTTTAAGACTACTAGTTACATTTATTGAATTTAACACTTGTATAAATAAAGTCTCCTATGTGGGGAAACCAATATTTAGTACTAGCTTTACACAGCACATGTACAGTTGGAGGAAAAAAAAAAATGTGAATGCTTTGGGATTACTTGGATTTCAGCCTAAATTTCACAGAAAATGTGTTCAGATCTTCATCTAAATTACAACAATAGAAAAACACGGCCTGCTTAAACTAATACCTGATAAATATGATATGTTTCATGTTTTTTTTTTATTTTTATTGAACACGTTCAAAACATTAAAAGTCCAGGAAAGAAAATTATGTGAACCTTTGGGTTTAATAACTCTCTCTTTTGTCAGCAATAACCGCAACTAAGAATTCTTACCTGTAGTTGCAGATCAGACCTGCACAAAACTGTTTCAGTTCAGCAATATTCTTAAGATGTCTTTGTGTGAATTGCTCTCTTGAGGCTATGCCACAGCATCTCAATTTAATTGAGGTCAGGACTTTGACTGGGCCACTCTGTATTTACTTCTGTTGAAGCCCTTCTGTTGTTGATTTACTTCTATGCTATAGGTTATTGTCCTATTGCATCACCTCTCCTCCGTTAAAGCAAATGTGTCGAAGCATTGATACGTTTCGAAACCCATCTCTACAGTTATGCAAATTGAGGAATTGTACCCCACGTTGAATAATTGAGCTATAAAGTGATTTATTGAAGTGGTGGGAGTTACTGGCTAGCATGCTGAGACAATGAGTTTGAGTCCAGGGTGATGCAGCTAAAGACCTTGATTTTTAAATACTCTGTTTTGTAATGTTTTGTTTTAAAATTTGTCTGACATCAGAATGAACACTCTGAGAATAAATATGTCTTATTTTGGTCATTAAAAATCTATATTAATAAAATACATTGTCATAATTTCAAAGTATTTATACCACTTGGGATTCGAACTTTCACATTTCACATTTCAGCACAGTTACTCTGTGCACACACAGTCTGCTACATGAGATGGAACTTCTTTCGAATGCTTCTGAAATTATTAATTTTTTGAAATGCTATGGTCATCATCTGACTTGGGCCTAATCCCAACTATATTTTTGGCTTCAAAGTTTATAGAATAAGATTGTAACTGTACTGTGCATTTACACCTTGGCCATATTCATCATTGTGAACACAAGAAAACAACATTAACATTACAGCAGACACTGTAAAAAGCACATTCTCAGCCACTAGACTTTCCTGAAAGGGGATTCGAGTGTCAGAATGTTGTGGGACTGCTGTCCAGGAGTTATTATTAGGCATTATAGATAGCAAAATGTAGCATTTTTTTTTAACAAGCATGACGGTAAAACACTTACGCTGAAGGGAATGGCTAAGGGGTAGAATTGGGATTGGGCCTTGGTGTTTCTAATCACTTAAGTCATGTGACCTGGATGTTTCGAACCACTTTAGTCATGTGACATAGGTGTTTCAGATTATGCTTCGGTGCAGCGTTTCAAAACACTTGTGCTTTGGGATCTTGACACTGTGTCGAAACATCAGTATCACATCAGCCATAATCATTCCAAGGAAGATTATAAGACCCTCTCCAGGTCCAAGTTTTTCCAAAAACTGAATCTGAATCAAATTGGTCCAGATTTGGACCAATTCCCACGTTTTACTATCCGGGATTAACTGATCTATCTTACTTTTATGATACCAAACATTAGGATTACCAAACCTGATTACCAGAGCCTTAAAGGACCATGAAACCCCCACTTTCAGTTATGGTCAACCTCAGCATTAAAAACAAAACAAAAAAAACACATAATGGGCGTAGAGCTCTGCGAGCAGCGGCAGGAATGGGCGTGGCCAGCAGAACAGGGGAGAAGGAGGGGAGTGAAGCAAACAACCGTTGTCAGTTAGCTCACAAGATGAAACAAAAATGCTTGCTGCGCACATACAGCTTTGCTATATCGGCCCTGACAGGATTGCGAGGAAAAACATGCAACAAACCCTGTGAATCAAGGAAACAAGCACATATGTACCCTTCATTACTAGCCAAATACTGTGTGCCGTGGGTCCGTAGACACGGTCTCACCCATTCATCATAGGTTTTCACAGCTTGGAACTGGCAGGTCTGTTTTCCCATCTGAAAGCTTCATGAAAGTCATGAATAATTAAGAAAGAGGCCTAGAATAAGAAAACTCCACTATGAATAATTAGGAGAAACCGGCGCATCATCACTTCACTTGCAGATTTGCGCTACGTCAGATTTGCGCTACGCGCTTTGATGCCGCTCCAAAAATCATTTTAAACAGAAAAAGTACTCGAGGGATTCTTGAATCTTTAAATGTAAACAACAGTGTAGCCTGCTGGCTAAGCAAAGTAAAACAGGTAGACAAAATACCAGTGGCCACAAACAGCCATTGCTTGTTTTAATAGTATGAAACTGAAACCGCAACAAACATTTAACATTTTTTAGTTTTTAGGCTTCAAATATGAAGACATTATATATAATCAGTTAAGTTATATAACCATTAAGTTTGTGATCATTCACTTAAAAATATAACTTTTTATTTTATTTTATTTGGTTTAAAACATCACAACTGAATCCACACCTCTGATGAGATCACTCCTTTTTTTATTTTGGATTAAATAGATCTAAGTTTAAAGTTTTGAATAGCACAAAGGGCAGGTTTGATCCAAATCAAATGTAAGATTGGATTACATGATCTGATCTTAATTTAAAATCTCTCTGTTACTTTTGAAAACCCCATTTCCAAGATTTGATCCGTGATCCAAAATCTCACTTGATTACTTTTGAAAAACTGGGCCCTGAACGACTCTAAAACAAGTCATCTTCAAATAGAGGTCAATCAATTCTGCCTGTATGTTCCTCAAAACCATTAAAACTATCATTTAGAAGGACCCACATCACACACATCACCTCTAGGCAGTAGCCAGACTGGATGTATCTTGGGCAAATTTCCATGCGCCAACAATTAGATAAAAATTTAACAGCCATGACATACTCTGCTTACACTGTAAGCCCTATATAACCAACTGTATTATATTTAAGACACATAATTTGTTATAACTTTTAAGACCTATAAATCATATTAACGTCGTGGTAAATACTTTAAGAACCTGTTGCGTATGACTTGATGCTTGTATTTTGCCCTCTTGTGGGTTTTCATGACACTGCAGCAAGCAGAGGGCTTTTTTTCCTTTTCTAAAACGGCTGCTGTCATTGACTTTTTTTCGTTCACAATTTTTCCATTCTCATTAATAATAATAGTTCAACATATATAAATGAATAAAAAAACAAACATTAACAAATAAAATACATGATAAAGAAAATTAAGTAGCAGGGGAGTTGAAGCTCTCAAAATATAAAACCGAAATCCTCTAATTATAAATATCTTGCTTTTTTGACTTTTCATCTCTCTTAATGTCTTCAGTTATATCACAAATTCTACTTTAAACATCACTAGTCTTGGGAAAATTTTAAATATTTACATTTAAGAATATAAAATTGTATTAATATAAACAAATGTTTAAATATATAACATGTTTTTATCCTTAAAAGTTAAGCCAAATTTAATTAATTCCCATGAGAAGAAAGTCTTACAGATATTTTCTGTTATATCTAAACTCATAATTCCCGAAATGTTTGTACAAAATTACATTGGAAAAGGCATGTTCAGATGTTTGTTTTTTAAATCAGCATAAAAAGGAAGTCAATCGAATACTTTCATTATAAATCTGAGCGTTCATAAAGTGAAAAAAAGCTTTATTCGCTCAGAATGTTTAAATTATACAGAGAAAAAAAAGGTTAACGAGACTTCAATTCTAAGCTATTCATTTTATCAGGCTAAACTGTTTAATGTATTTGCAGCTTTTTCTAATGTTTGCTATTTATTCAATCCTTTGTAAATAATAATAAAACATACAACTGGCCATTTAAACTGTTTATTTACAATAAATATATCCCTTATTATGAAGATGAAGTGTAAGACAAAGAAGTTCAGGTCCCAACACTGCAAACACTGGAGTCAGAAATTAGACAGTAAGGGGCAATGCAAAAAGCAAAGAATACAGATGGAGAAAAAGACAATATGCTACATTTGTTGATTTCATTGCATCTGCTGAGGAAGGCACAGAGGACTCAGACCTACTGCGATAAACTAGAAGCCTTCGGAAGGTCCATTTTTTGAGAGCAGATCCTCCTTGCAACCCTTCAGGTGGCATTTTCTCAATAGCATCTGGATGCACTTTGATTTGCAAGCTGAGACTGCATGTCTCAGACTTGCAATGTGAGACACTAGTGTACTCAATGAAGCTGTTCGTCACTATGAGGGGTAGGGTTAGGGGTGGGTTTAGGTGTGCACATAAAAAATTTACCTTGCAACTGCACCAAGTATGCAGCCAGACCCCTTTTCTTTATCCAAAAGTATCTGGATGCAGCCTTTATGATGCAAGCCGAGATTGCATCACTCAGCGAAGCAATGTCAGACACAATGCATTCAGTGGAGATAGTGATTTCACTGTGACGAGTAGGGTTAGGAGTGGGGTTAGGTAAGCCCATTAAAAAGCATTGGATGCAGCTCAGATTGCACTGCACCAGGTCTGCATCCAGACCCTTCTCCCTTTTTTTAACCTTGCCCTACAGTATCATTGGTCAACCTCAAGATGGCGACATTCAACTTAAAAATATTCAATACCGGTTTGAGAAATGTGGCATTGAAAGACTTATTACAGGATAATGAATTTGACCTACTTTTTGAATTAATAGTCAATGTCTATTATGTCCAGTAGATGTTAAAGGTATACATTTCACTCCAAAAAAATTAAAAGCCTACCGATTTACCCACCCTTCACTTATCACAAACCTGTTTGAGTTCATTCTGTTAAACGCAAAAGAAGATATTTAGAAAAAAATAAATAAAACTGCCCTTAAAAAAAAAAAAAGAAGCTTATGCTGGTAAGGTATGTTTTGATGCTGGTCTTGTTGATTTTAGTGGTCTCTAATGCTGGTCTCAGTGCCAGTCCTGACCAGCATTGAGACCAGCAAAACCAGCATTGAAATCAGCAAGACCAGCTTAGAGACTAGCAAAACCAGCATCAAAATATACCTTACAGGCATATGCTGTTTTTTTTCCAATACTGTTTGTTTTCCCTACTATCGATGTCAAACCCCCAGTTTCCAACAATCTTCAAAATCTACTTTTGTGTTCACCAGAAAAAAAAAAAAAAAAAAATCTCAAAATCAGTTTAAGTAGTGTAACAATTTTGCTTCATACTTGCCACAATATTGTGAAAAAGAGTTTCTACAATAGAGAGCTAGCTCATATTAAAAATCTGGATAAATCTGGATTACAGTAAATTTGAAGCATTTTTTTAAATTCCTAGTCTCTAAAGATTATTTTCTTATATTATATTAGTGACACCTTATGTCTTGCCTGTATTTTTGAACACTTCCTTTCTGCAGATAAAAAAGATTCTCTGAAGCAGCAGAAAGTGAGGGCGGAGCTTCTCCTCTCAACCTATTTCCCAGCTTCCCTTTCCTCTTCCTGTCTGAAAATCTGTCCCATGTCCTGACTATTCCCAAGAGAGCATGTAGCCTACTATTACTGTGACAGTTTTCCAAGATAACATCTGGACACTGACTGTCAAAACACAAGAATCTCATTTACACTGCTGTTGAGTGTCTCACTCCAGTTTGAAAATCTGTCATTTAAACCTGAAAGCAAAGTTTAAAGAGGACACATGCCCTTTTTAAAATTAGCATTAGATATTCCTTGTGACATAGAATGAACATTTGAAGTTGCAGTATGTGTTAAATCTTATTTATTTATTAGGCCTACTGGCGTAAATATGGCAGGAAATATGAGGTTTAAATATATATATAAAGACACAAACTTCATGTGTCTTTTAGCTTTTCTGTTTCTAATGCTTCATAGTGTAGTACCATATTGTTTAATATCTCCTTTATAAAATGTTCACAATTAGCTTAGCTTTACAATTAGCTTGGCTTAGCTTTGGCCCATTTCATGACATGAATGTGGTATTTTCCAAGTAACATTAGTTGTAAAAGAAAATAGGTTGTACTTTTTTTTAATCAATTCCATCTTGTACTAAAGCAAACATGACATCATAGAATCAAATTTGTATTAATGTACCAAATGTCCGTGAAATAAAGTTAGAAACATCAACCCAAAATAATCTTGAGCATATACATTGAAAATACAAGATGACTAACAGATTATTGAACAATACCACAAAAATCGCAGTAGTTTTAAAAACTATAAATTCTGTGTAAAAATGCAAAAGATACCTGTCTTTATTACTTAAAAAATGTATTTGTTAGTAACTTTATACTTTTTCCCACTCAATCTTCCCACATTTTGATGACCAGAAGACTGTTGAAGATGGTATATTATTCTTTTTAAAGTTATTTATTTAATTATTGGGTGAACTATCCCTAAGAATAAATTAGCAATATTATTTGAATAGTTTTGACATGATAAGTTACATTTATTCACCACTTGGGGCATATTTTTTATTTTTTAATGTTTAGAAAGTCAGTGAATCACAAAATGATCCAAGCCTGAAACATTCTACACAATGTTTCATGCATCAAATTACTTCAGTAGTAGTTTTTGAAACTTATTTTTGATACTGTGGGGAGGAAGCTGTTTGCCATAAATTTGCAAAAACAGAACAGTTTCGAAAGTTTACAGAAAGGATGAGCCTTTCCATAGGAAACCCTCATTACTCATGAAGTGACTTTCATATACACACCCAGATCGGACCAGTCTGACCCGAAGAGCAATACACTTTAGCTCATTCAGGTAAAGTGACTCAAACATCAAAACTCAACTGCTGTTTTTTTTTTTTTTTTTTTTTTTAACTGAAGTCCTCCCATACCATTAATTAGCAAAAATTTCCAGACCGGTTTCATTTTGTGACGCAAAATACATGGTAACAGTGAGTAACCAAACTAGACTATCAGGTTTGACCAGAAAGGTTCATATGGCAAGCTTTTTAACATTAAACAATAGTACCCGTTTTCATGATACCATGGTGCTTGATCTTCAGGTACTAGGACATTTTGTATTGTTTTAGTAGCAGCAGCAGCAGCATGTTTTCTGGGTCATTCTGATATTTAATAAATAAATAAATAAATAAAAAAAAAAACGTTCCTACTAGGAAGACAATAAGTCTTACTAGTAGTTGGCCTTTCTGTGTGGAGTTTGCATGTTCTCTCCATGTTTGCGTGGGTTTCCTCTGGGTGCTCCAGTTTCCCCCACAAGTCCAAAGACATGCGATGTATAGGTGAATTGAGTAAGCTAAATTGTCCGTAGTGTATGTGTGTACTGTATCCACCAGGTTGGGGGTTGAGCGGTGTGCTAACAACTCACCTCGTAAAAATTACGTTACAAAACACCAACATGGTAGAAATAACAAAGAATAACTTATATCTGCATTTAAATTTAGCAGACACTTTTGTCCAAAGCAACTTACAATTGAGGAGGCATTCAGCGATTAACAAGGAGGCAACACAAAAAGTGCTAATTATACAAAGGAACTGTGTAATGAAGTGTTAAGGCCTGTGCACACAGAGACGTTTTTTTGCTTGCCTTTTCCATTGACGTGTAATGCCTCATGACTAAATAAAGGACATCAATGTGCAAAACACCAGGTGCAAAAGCATCATTAAAAAAAAAAAAAAAAAAAAACGCCTCATGCTCGTTCTCTACCAATCAAAATGGCACTTTTGTTTACGTGCATGGAGCTGCTGAAGTTACAGTAATCAGCACTCGAAGGCGCTCAAGTGAAAAACTGTCAATGAGAGCGCACATTGAAATTGCCCAGAGGCGATATGAACATGAAGCTGCTTATTGCTTTGTGAACAATAATAATTTCTTTATCGCTAGAGCTTGAGCTGCTACCTGAACCATCCCTGCTAGTTTAAGTCACCAGTAACTTTAACAACAAGCATGTAAACTTTCTCTCTTTCTCTTCTTCTGTGTTACAAGCAGGTGTCAGAAGCTTAAAGTTGTTTAGCGCCATCTAATGTCAAGGAGTGATTTTGCATACTCTTCTGCTTGACGGCAGTGAAAATCGCTCAAGTTTGAATCCGGAAAAACGTCTCGTAAAACGTTGATGATAAACGCAAACAAAAATTGCCTCGTTGTGTACGAGCCTTTAGAGTAAAAAGGGGGAACGTTTTTTTTTTCTAAAGAGAGAGAAGGGTATTTTAACAGGTGGTTTGTTAAGCCCACTCACCTGTGTGAAGTACACTCATAAATGCACAATTATATTAGAGATGATAAGGAAGAGTGATAAGAAAGTGTTTGGTGCAAATGTGCAAACACTGGTGCAAGGGTCAGTGTCAGAGAGATGCGATGTATTTTCTACAGGTGGCTTGTCAAGCCTAATCACTTCTGAGGCACACTGAGATTTGCAATAAGTTTTGAGTTTGTTGTGTGACCAGTCTGGTTAAGGGGAGAGAAGATTATTATTATTATTATTTTATTGTACCTTAAATAGGTTTCCTACTAATATCTAAAGTAGAGACGCTCAATTCAGTTGATTTTGCCAACAGACAACCGCTGCTCGTTAACCGATTATTAATGGATAACTGGTCAGAATAATAATAAATTATTATTTAATAAAATAAATAATTAACGTGTCTATTTTGTGTCTGACTCATTAAATATTGCATTTTAAAATACTGATTCATTTTAGCATGTGAACAACAGCATACAGAACATCTTTAAGCACATGCAGCATTCCAAAAGCATAAAAAAACAGAATAAACTAAATAAAAAGAATAAAAAAATAGTCCAGCCCTAAATAAGGTTAAATGACAAGGTTAGATTACAAAACAAAAACACTGACAATCCTTTTTAATAACTGGCGTTTGCCGTTTGCCCAATCGAGTCTTTTTTTTTCTTCCGTCAAATAAAAATAACGCAAATCTCCCTCAAATTGATCACTCCACAGAAAATATGCATTTAATCAATGGAAACTCCGCCTCTGCTTTCATTTAATTAAAAATCTGATGTACACTTTTTTCCGCTCAGTGTTTACTTTATTTCAACTGCGAGCACACAGCATACAAAGGCAAAAACCTGAGGCATGCAGGGCGCTGCAAAACACAATTTGATGTTTCCTCATTCAGATAGAATGCCCGAGCATACTGCCCAAGAGGTGTTTTAAAGATGGCCGTCGAGTGAAATGACTTTCCTTAAAGGGAATTTGCCCAGATGCAGCCAAACTTAAAAAAAAATATAATAATATTTTTTAATAATTTAACTGATCGGTTAATCGGTTAAAAACGCACCCTTTCAGTTAATGGTTAATCGGTTATTATGAGCATCCCTAATCTAATGTTTAAGTACTAAAACAATATATTCAACTAGTACGAGTATCAAGTGAGCACTAGTATCTACAAAACTATTACGCAACGATATAAACTATGTATGAGTCACAACTGGGAGACATACTAGTCAAAACTCAATAGATGACATCTCAGTGACGATAACACCAAACTGAAATTTAAGGAACAATTACTATCCATTGAATAGGTAGTAATATGCAAGGATTAAAAAAAAAAAAAAAAAAAGAATAGGAACTAGTATCTAATAAAGGAGACTAGTTTATTATATACTACTAGTGTGAAAAAGTACCAGTATATTTTAGTATTAAGAACAGTGCGTAACAAACAAGCACTAGCTAATAAGTATTAAATGGAAAACTAGAATCTAAAACACTGTTAGTAGCATGAGAATAGATTAATAAATTATGTAGAATAAATCAGGCCCGGATTGGCTAATCGGGAGGACCGGGAGAATTCCCGGTGGGCCGGTCCGTTCTTTGGCCGCGAGGGCCGGTGTTTTTTTTATTTATTTACTTGACCACAGCCTTCTTATTCATTTTTTTACCACAGCTCTGCTCTTTTTATCTATTTTCTCGTAGCCTCGTGAGCAGGATGCAGCCTGCAGGTTAAAGATGATATAACTAGATAAGTCACCATTCAACGTACAGCAGTTGTGGTACAGTGGTTAGTACGTTAGATTATGACGTGGCCAACCTGGGTTCGGTCCTTGTCTGAGTAACAATTTTTTTTTTTCATTTTTATTGTTAAGACATAATACTGTAAGGGTTGTTGAACATTTAAAGTTCTAAAAGAGCTGTTTTCTCAAAAAAAGACGTGATAGTGTAATTAGAAACTGAATTGGAAATAACCTTATTTTAATATAGTCAGTGGTGAACTGAGGTGGGCCGGTCTGAGGCTTGAAACTCCAGGGCTAAAAAAAGAGTCCCACTCCGGCCCTGGAATAAATGTTCAATTGGTTTGTCAGTCATCTTCCACCTGTTGAAAATACTTTTTTTTTTAACCATACCTTTATTGCATTAACACTCAGTTAGCAAGATTGCAAGAAATCAAAGCACACAAAATTAGCAAAACCTGTTTGTCTGAGTATACAATGAGACTTCATCATAAAACAAAACATTTCAATAAAGCAAGTTGCAAAGCATGTATAATTTTGACTGTTAGTCTATTTCAATATCAAGTTTTACCATTACATTTTAAAAAGACAAACTAAACTCTAATGTTAAAAGCATCTAAACGGATTTGTGTGTGTGTTCATTAGTTTGTTTAGAGCACACATTCTTCAGCGAAGCTCTTACCAACAGGAACAGACAGAAACCAGGTGTCAGTTGGTGTACAGAATGTATTTGAGAAAGGTTTCAGGATACACTTGAGTGGAATTGTTGGCAGGAGTCCATCATAAGCTCACTGTAGGAACAAATGTGTCAAACAAGTAGGAATGGTGAAAGCATCTCTTTTAAAGGTGGTTTAATGTTGACATATACAACCACAAAATGGCTAAATTGTGAGAAATCGCTGCAAAATTACAAAGATCTGAAATAGACTACAAATATCCTTTAAAAAAACATCACCTAATAAAACATACAGCCAGCTTTGGCATGACCACATGCCAAAAATATACATTTTTAGTGTGTGTGTGTGTGTGTGTGTGTGTGTGTGTTGTTTTTATGAATATACATTTTTACATTCCATTTGAAAAGTTCAGAATTGCTCTCAACTTTGAGCTGCCCTCTCCAAAATGATAATCTTACAATTCATATATACGTGTACAACCATTGTCATAACATACAGCAGATCCAAATGGCTAATTTTCTAAAAAACACAGTATAAAACTATAACTTACATTTCTTGTTGACGATTGGAGTACAAGAATGCTTTTACAGCACGATTGAAAAAAGATTCTCAAGATATCAATTAATCCAAGCTTTCTTTAATTTTGACTTAATAAAAATTCAAGTTCATTCATCTGTGCTCTTGATGGCCAAGCTCTTTATTTTAATCCAATAGAAAGGGTAGAAGAACATTTGGCAGGAACGCTTTGGTTGGTCTTTTTTGTACCTGGTTATTGTTTGGAAGCCCTGTAAAGATTTTAAGGCATTAAAGGGAAATGCAAGAAATAAATATTTAAAGAGTTCTGCTTGAGCTTGCTCTTCATTCAAGATGCATCTCTTACGGTGTGAAAAATTCAATTTAACACCTTGTTCAGGTTCAGTTCTTCAGTTGTGTGTGTCTGCCCCCAAAATCTGAAGACATTAGGCACATTAGTCAATGATAGCAGAGAAAATGTGGAAAATTGGAGAGGGGAAGCTTCAGTTGATCCTGTTGAATCCTCATAAGTTTGTAATGGTCACCAAAATGAGTGTCCCAGTGCTCTGACCATAAAAAAGCCACATCGGGCTGCCAACACTTCGTCATTCAAGTTCTTGCCAATCCCTCAGATGGCACTAGTAAGAGCTTTAAAGGACAAGCAGTTTCTTCTGCGCCGTGTCCATCAGAGAGGGAGCTGTTGTTCAGTGTTGAGTATGTGTGTGAGTGGGGCTTACGAGGATCTGGGTTAACACCAGTCAGCGATGTAGTCAAAGTCTGCAAACAGGTCCTGTTCGCCGAGCGTCAGAATCCTGGGCTCTCGAGGTGGAGTCAGTATTGGTGCCTCTGAGGTGAATTCATCGTCAAAGTTGCTAACATCCTCACGGCTTGTGATGGTCGGCACAAACGGAGGCCGGATCTTCTTTGCCAGTAGTCCAGGCCAATCCATATCCTGAGGGAAGATGGATACAAGTGTGGTAAGGATTTTAATAATGACATGTGAATGTTCTGTAGAAGAAAAAAACGATGTAAAACAGATGGCCTACTCTGAAGAAAGGATGCCTCTTTACTTCCTCCGCATCTCGTTCTCCTGCGCCAAGACGCCGCTCTGGATTTCGCCTTAACAGCTGGATAAGAAAGAGAATGTTTAGAAACATTAGTTAGCTGGATAATTAATATGAGATTACAAAAGAGAAGGATCTTTCTAAGAGAGCCATGTTGGGATTTTAAGGGTTGTCATGAAGAATAAGATGAGGTGTAGTTTGGGTCAATGGTTTAAAGCAGAACAGGACTTGTCCGAACTTACCCTTCTCATTATGGAAATAGCTTCTGTGGAGAGATATTTGGGATAGCGGACTTCATCATTAACTATACTGTCAAACACCTCCTCTTCATCATCACCAGGGAAAGGGGACTGAGAATAGAGAAAGAAATGACCCATTATCACACAATTTTTCAAAGTCATTTACTTTACTTTTTGTTTACAGAGGTATCTTTGACACTGGCATAAAACATAAATATAAAATACATACTTTTACATGTCTCTAAAACCACCCCAATTAAAAAAAAAAAAAAGGTCAAAAGCAAAATGCTATTATGCATGCATATTTGGTTCAAATAGTCACTGCCAATGAAATAAGTGACCTTTTATATACGTGTTCGTTTTTAGCTAATGCTTAGCTTTATTTTATTAATAAATTAGTTTTCATTTATTTAGTATTAGTATTTATTTAGTAAATTAGTATTAATTATTTAGATTAATTATAATATTATTCAAATCATTGTAATATTACAGATAATAAATTATTGAAAAACGTTAAACCTATTGAAACCATAAACCTTTTTTTCTTTTATTACATGCACATGACTAAACAACAGTTTATCAGCATCATAGCACTAAAAATGAATTTGACTTCAATATTGTAAAAAAGTCCAACTTTTTGGAAATATGATTACTTTATAAGAGACCTAAATTAAAAACGATGAGTTTTACCATTTTTTAATCCATTTAGCCAATCCCTGGGTCTGACTGGAGCACTTTTACCTTAGCTTAGCATAAATCATTGAATCAGATTAGACCATTAGCATACAGCTAAAAAAAAAAAAGGTTTTGATAATTTAAAGCATGACTCTTCTGTAGTTACATTGTGTACTAAGACCAACACAGTTCTAATGTTCTAGGTCGATATGTCAAGGAACCATATTCTCATTCAGGCATAATAATTAAGGAACTGCTGCCGCACTACATCTTCTGCAGGTGCAATGATATTATGCAGCACCTGAAAATTGTCTGCAGCTAGGTAAGCAGGTAACAACACAACAACACTGAATAATATCATTACACCTGCTGCAGACATTTGTATGGCAGCAAAGTGTGAATGATTTGGACTTCTCTGTATGTGTTTATTTTCAATCTAAATAAGGTAACCATTATCACTGCCCTTATAAGAATCACCAGTTACTACAGATTCTAACTGCTGTACTCCTTTAAAGGCTTTTAAACTATGTTAAATCTAGCTTTATCTCACCTACATTATCTGATCTACTGCAAATAAGGATATTCAGACATTCATGCTATTCATGACTACAGTTGCAGATGCAGTCAAACTGCTCTTGAGGGTTCACAGACTATGGCAAGCCATTTAAACATTTAATCTATAAAATTTTGTAGTATTATTAGGGTTTAACGATGGCGACCAATTTAGCATTGTACAATGTTTAATGTGAAACATCACAATGGACAACGGCATTGTCGTCGTAGGCGGCGGTGAATTAATTATTTATGAATAATTAATTATTTGATAACAAGGTAACACTTTACAATAAGGTTAATTAGTTAATGCATTTACTAACATGAACTATTCATGAACATCACATGTACAGCATTTATTAATCATAATTGAACATTTACTAATACATTATTAACATCCAAATCCGTGCTTTTTAAAATTAGTTAATAGACCATGAGTTTACATGAACTAACAATGAACTACTGTATTTTCATTAACTAATGTTAACTAACATGATCAAATACAGTAGGAAATGTATTGTTCATTGCTTGTTCATGTTAGTAAATGCATTAATTAACATTAACGAATGAACCTTATTGTAAAGTATGACCGATAACAAATTAATTATTTGTAGCCTATGGTTTTAACTACCTGACCCGCATGTTTTTTGTTCTACCCATAACCAAATCATAAATAAATAAAGATAAGTTACTGTGACATGTTACTCACAAATTACCACCTGTAAATCACTTTTTCCGTGGGATTTACGTGAATAGTCAGAGTGATCAGTGTCGTTTTAATGGTGTTGACAAACTTGGTTGGTAAAAAAACAGTGCACAACCAACAGTATCTGAGGTTTTCCCTAAAATTACTAAGTACAAGTGTGAAAGATTCAAAAGACAGAAGAGTCGTCAAATAGAGACAAGATTAATTAAACATCATGTTTAACAACTATAGTGAGACGCGATACTGCAGTACATCATTGATAATCTGTCTGACGTGCACTGCTCTCTGGGGTTTTGTGCTCAAACCACCTGCTGACTGCTGGAGCTCAGATGTGTGTGTACGCTGCAGTGCATGACAGAGTGTGTTTGTGTGTGTGGGTCACATGATGTACGTTTTCAGGGGTATAGTGTGGACGGAGGGCTGATTAGAAATGCTAGAAGAAACGCCAGAGCGGACATGGATCGTTTTATGCCATTTTAAAACAAAGACATATTAGTGCAAATGGGGCCAAAGTGTGTATTTTTTGCGAGCGAGTTTCTGCTGTGACAGGGGCAGGGCAGAGGATCGCGATGCTGGCTGGTATCTATTTTTATGCTATGTGTACTTCTTTTTAAGATACTAGTATCCTTTCATTAAAAACCAGTACCACCAGTAACATCTTATTACATGCTATTAAAAGATCTTATTAGTTATTCATTAGATATTGGTAGCTTTAAAGAAAACCACATGAGCCCCAAATGTGCAATTGCAAGTTTAAAACAAACATGCAGTCTAACACACACAGATTGTCCATGATCATACCTCTCCAACCAGCATCTCAAAGATGAGCACTCCGAGACCCCACCAGTCCACCGCTCGAGTGTACGACGTCTCGGTTAAAACTTCAGGTGCCAAGAACTCAGGAGTGCCACAGAACGTACTAGTACGGTCTTTAAAGCCCATTCCTGCATGACAGATGCAAAGAGTTACAGTCGCAGTACTGACAATCAACTCTCAGTATCAATGGTGACACAAATCCATCATCTACCTTCTTTGCAGAGACCGAAATCTGCAATCTTGACATATCCCTCAGTGTCTAGCAAAAGGTTATCTAGCTTCAAATCCCTGCAGAAGAAAGTCCACAATAGTCACATGCAGTTCATAAAACATTGGTGAAGCCTTCTTTTTTTTTTTGCATTCTGGAGTGACACATACCTGTACACTATTTTATGGTCATGCAGAAACTGCAGGCCCAGGACGACACAAGCAGCATAAAAACTGAGGACATAAAACAATTATTTCAGATTCTATTCTAATATGTATACTTTTATGAGAGAAACAATGTCTGCATCTACACTGAAATATCCTGTCATTTGACTACCTGATTACAGTTTACATAAATCTCGAACAAATAATCTTTAATCATTCACTATGAGTGCCACAACTGACCCTCGAATTGTGGATAGACTTTCAATAATAAATTGATCTAAAAGTCAACAAAAACACATCCAACATCAATTAATTAGACTGAATAGATTAATTGAATACTGCAATTATATTTAAAACTTTAAAAGCATTCCACATCTAAATAGAGATAAATAAATAAATAAATAAATAAATAAATAAATAAATAAATAAATAAATGGACTGTTGTGCAGATTTTTGTTTACACGTGTAACAAATTTTGATCTGTGTCAGATGTGACCAAAACATGGGCTTTTATGTGCCAGCATAAACACTGCCAATTGTTTTAACTGCTATTGATAGATAGTTTGTATTAATAAATGTATAAATAAATAAACTAGGACAAATAGTCAATATTATAACTAATACAACAAACTGTTCAATAGTTATTTAAGTATTTATTAATTCCTTTCTGTGACAAAAAAACTAGTTTTTTTTTATATAACTATATGTTTATATATTTATGAAATTACAAAAGCTTATTTATTATGTTGGGTTTTTTTAGTGATTGATGTTTTTTTATGTTCTTGCTGGGTCCGATGTAATATAATTTTGTTCTGCATTGGAATTTATTGTGATGTTTTTAATGACAAAAATAAAGGAAACTGAAACTAAACTGAAAACTTTAAAGTATTTGACACAGATAAATAGATAAATCGTTTTTGCTTACACATGTGTAACAAATGCTGATCTGTGTCAGATGTTATCAAAACATGGGGTTTCATGTGCCAGCTTAAACACAACCAGTTGTGTGAACATGACAGTAGCAGCAGCAGTACAAAAGCACATATACGAGTTACTCACACAGAGCGCGTTTCAGAAAACACATCTGCATGGATGTGCATCATCAGGTCTCCTCCAGCTGCGTACTCCATGACGAAACACACATGCTCCTTGGTCTGGAAACAAGCAAAGAGGTTCACCAGGAATGGATGCCGAACACTGTTCACAGTCTCAAAGATCCTCTTTTCGCACATCAGGCTGCGGAAAGACAATAATGGATAGTGTAAACTGACAAGTCCATCCATCGGAGTGAACAAAAAAGTAGTGCTTCACCTTATGTCTTTTTAAGCATATGTATTAAGTCAGATTGTAAAACTCTACCAAGGAATTGTGCTTATTGAGGAGCATTAAGAAGCATTGAGGAGAATGGTTGCTAATCAAATACACAAGAGTTAACCAAATAAATATTTTTGCTATATTTCTTTGCAATTTAAAAAAATATATAGGAGCGTTATTTATACAAGTGCAGATCATTATATAGAAAAATAAAAACAGAAATTAATATCTGTTGCTAAATGTATCCTTTATCAGGCAGAGAAACCTATGAGATTACTTCACTGACATTGATATACGGACAATTACAAATAAATGCTTATAATAGCTCAAGTCTTGCAATAGCAGTAGTAACAGCATAAATAATAATCACAGTTACACAGTTTGCCCAAAGAGTAGTGCAATGAGTGCTCTTTAAACAGTTAATATTATACAAAAATTTATGTAATAGTGCTGATATATAGTTTACAGTTAAACAAAATGTTTATCAGTAAAAAATAATAATAATTACAATTCATTAAAGAGCCCCTATTATGTTTTTTTGAAAATTACATTTTATGCAGTGTGTGACAGCTCTAACTGAATGAAAACATTCAGCTTAAATCTGAAAGTGCACCGTGTTTAAAACTATCGACTCATCTATAAGAGTCGACTCGTAGTGGTTTGAATGAATAGCTGCTGTAACGAGTCTTTAGCCATGTCAGCGTGACGTCGATACGCAACTCAAGCCCAGCCCATTTGTTGCCATGCAGACCCAGGAAAATTTACAACCCCAGCCCCACTCACAAACACTGTAAAAAGACAGAGGAAGACAAACACTGTAGCTGATCCCGTTGAATCAAGCTGAATATACACTGTGCTCTGAAGTGTGAAGGTAAAGTTAGTGCTATTTTCCCTACACAAAGATGAGGCTGTGAAAAGTGATTGAAGTTTATTTTTGCGAATATACCTCAGCATTAAAGCCCCAGCCTTGTGCGGTGTTCCTGTCATTTTTCTGACAAGTGCTTCAGCAATCTACACGCTTACAACAGGGGATTCGTTGGCCGTTTGTTAAAGGAAGGATCAGAAAAGACTACTGATATATGGGACTTTGTCATAGCTTGACAGGAACTTTACAGTACACAATTCATGGATCTGTTTTTTTCTCCATTTCACAAGTGTAAGTAAGTATGATTAAAAGGGTTGGCTCCTTATTTTCTCTAACTTGCAAATGATGCATTTAATTGCGTTTTGTTATTAGTAGCCACTTGTAGTGTATCTGGTTAACTCTTTATACTCTCATATCATGTCTAAAGCCACGTAGAAAATGTGAAGTGTGCTGCTTTGTTTACAGATTTAAATGCGTTTGTAAGCTCACGATCTTCTGCTGCTTATTACTATGGTCACCATCAGCTGTTCCTACACATCTGTGGGAGTCAAGTTCAAAAAAGTTTAGCTTTTGCCACTGTGTGGATTAATACTGAATGCGTGTCACTGTTTTACTTAAGGTTAAGAATAGAGCAATATGCTGATGTTAAACTGCATTGCTTTAATGCACTACTGCACTGGGCTCACACAACACTCTGCAATCTGGATACTTCAAAATTGTTGATAGGCCCTGGTGGACATTTCTCTCCATTTCGTTTTAAACGCAGTTGACCAATAACAACAGACTGGGTCATTGGACCAATTAGTGCAGATTAGCATCGAGCTAAGGAGGGGTTTGGGAACAAATTAATCACTGAACGAATCATATGGAAGTCGTTAGGATAATTAGGTAAAAGTAAATGCATATTATTAGACAATAAAAGTGTTTTGACCTTGAATTCATTTCAGACTGTTGATGTAGACCCCGTTTATAATGATTAATAGGGGCTCTTTAAAAAGGGACACATTTTGATCCATAAATTTCATACACTGAAAAAAAAAAAATACAGAACTGCAAGCAAGGTATTTATGCTAATAATTAAATCTCTTTTGTATATAAATCATTTGCACAATTTTCTATATTGTCAATAAAAATACAGCTAGCAATAACATCGCCAAAAAAGCACTACAATATATGTCAAAACGTGAAAAACTGTCTATATTCAAAGTAGAGTTGTGTTAAAATCGTTGTGGCTCCAGCATGTCTAGAGTACAACTCTGACTCTGTCTTTAATAATAACAGGAAGTAAAACAGTAGCAGAGGAGTCCCCGCTGTATACAATTACTGATGCCTCTACAAATGCTTCAAAACATCCTCAAGAATAAGATACAGCTCATTTATTCCACTTAAACACGAGCGCAGAGCCGTTACCTGTCCACTTCATCCCTTGCAACGATGTCACCTTTTTTCAAAGCTTTAATGGCAAACATTTCTCCAGTGGTTTTGTAATCGGCGAGTAAAACCTGTTGAATAAATAAATATAGTTACGAGACAATGAAAGTGACTCATGCAAACTGGCAGTATGTAGCGATAATCTAAAATTCTATCTATGCAAATGGTCAAATGCATGGGGCATTTGCATACTTGTACAGAGCTTGCCTTTTGTACGGATGAAAACATGACGTTTACCTTTCCAAAGTGGCCACGTCCCAGAACAGCTACACATTTAAAATCTGACAAACTGAACTGAACTTCCTCTTCTTCCCTGAAGGCACACAAACATTTGATACACGATGTAAGATAATACTGTATGTATTTAAGTCCATTTAGGTTCAAATCACTTGTGCAATCTATTCAATTTAACTTGAAAACGACAAATGCATTCCAGTGTATTACTACATGCATTACTATATGCATGTTTTAACAGTATCATCATGGTGATGGGAAAGAGAATACCTTATTTCAGTTTTTCGCTGAATTTCAGTAAGTTCCAAGCCAGGCTGCTCATGTTCAACCAGACTGTCATAATCTGGTTTTGCTACTGTGTTGTTCAGGAAGTCAAAGGTCGCGAGGGCATCCTGTAAGCAAGAGGCACTTAAGAATCTTTCCAAACCAGTGCAAGAGATCTCTTACTGAAAATACTGGGACAGTTCAGCCAAAAAAATGAAGATTTGACATCATTTCCATACTCTAATTACTGCCTTTCAAATATGTTGTGCGTTTGTTGCAATTAATGTGAATGGTGGTTATGGACAGTCAAGGTCCAAAAATGATAAAAATAAATAAATATAAATAAATAAATAAATAAATAAAACATGATTTAAAGGGGATTTATTATGCAAAAATCTGTTTTATTCAGAGTTTAAACAGTTGTGTGTGAACACAGCCAGCCTTTAATTGTAAAATTGAACCCCTTCTATTTCTTTGAATCACATTTCATAAAAACAGTCTGTAGAAACCCTTTGATTGATTAATATTCCCCATTTGTACATGTCACCAGAGGGAAAAGTCCTGGCCATTAGTGATGATCTCTTCCTCATTAGCATTAACATAAAAAATATAAAAATAAAAGCAGCAATAAAAAGAGGTAAGAAATTATTTTTAAATAAATCGTTTAAAGCGATGTCATGATTGTGATAATTTTATTCTTGTAAAAAAAGTGCACAGCACATATCGACTTAGTCATCTCTTGGCAGCGTGAACCACATCTGTATGCTCATAATTAATATACTACTCAAAGAATAACGAAAAATTATTTTGTGTATGTTGGAATTTGTATTTTTAAACAATAATATAAAAGTTATAAATATTCAAACATTAATTTGAAGTTGGTGAGTTTTTCTTTGTGTTGTTTTATGGGTTTTTTTGTTTTGTTGCCATTCTCTTCTCTCTGCCTCTCTCCGCTGTCTTTTCAAAAAAAAGTTTCGTTATGAACACTCACAGATGCGGTGAAACAGTTTATTAAGTTTTTCTCATGTTTTTTTGGTTAGTAGGGAGGTACGTGAATGTTGTTTAATTTGTTTTAATTCGTGTTCAGGTAAGAGGATTTAAAACTTAGCTAGTTGTTGAGGTTTTGTTTGTTTATTTTGGCTTTACCTCTGCAAGTTTTCTTTTTTTTAGGTCTTCTTTAAATTTAAATGTCAAATAAATTTGACTTCAAGTTAATTCTTTGGTCAATTGTCTTTGTTGTCGTTTACTTTTGAATGGGAGAGGAGACTCTGGGCTGCTGATTAATTTTAGAGGTGTCCAATATAATTTAATTTAATTTGACTTCTTGTTATGGGTCTTGCTTGCTTTGTGGAACCTTGCAAATTTTAAAGTACGTAACAAACTGCAAGAGCAAGATGTTGGCTAATAACAAGGGTTTCTGAATAAGGCTACTTTAAAAGAGACCTATTATGCCTCTTTTTACAGTTTGTAAAATAAGTCTCTGATATCACTAGAGTATGTATGTGAACTTTCAGCTTAAAACACATCACAAATAATAATTCTTTTTAAATCTGTGAAACTGCCCCTTTTAAGCTTTGATCCTAACTGTGCTGATTTGCTCACTGTCAAAGTTGAATGTGGTACTTTTCAAACGACACTGTAGCTACAAAGACCTATGCTTCAGCACAGCAGCAATGGGACTAATGTTGTTACTGTGAAAAAATTTAAATGTCAAAAGAAGTGTCTCAGAAGAAAGTAGTCTATGGAGACAACGATGATCATTTGTGAATCCTAAAACTCAATATGCATAATGCCTCTTAGTCGCTGACATTATCTTTGGCAAAAACTCTAATAGCAGATGGCGGGCTACGCTAATGGGTGGGGCTTTCCCCCTCCAATGACATGTGCAATGAGAGAGTGTCAATCAACGTGTTTGGCAAGACTGTTTTTATGAAGTGCTTTATGAAGCACATTTTTACTATTAGAGGCTGATTATATTTACACACTGTTGCCAAACAACAGAATAAAATAAGAATAAAATAGATTTTTGCATAATAGATCCCATTTAAATCATTGAAAACGAATGTGCACTTGCTCTATTTCTTAGTAAGCCTGTGACACAAGGAGGGCAGTCATGTATTTGCCCAAGAATTTTTATATATTTGTAATCACATTCATTTAAAGGTTCTGTGAATGGCTTTGAAATGTACATTCATTTATTTGATGTCTAACATAATTGACCTCATAAAATGAAGATCGGATAAAAAAGGGACAGAAAAGCCCCTCTCCTTTTAAAAATATCAGCCAATAGCTTATGGTTTTTAGCACAGCTCTGCCAGTAAGTGGTTGAGTTCAAGCGTATCAAAAGAAAAGCAAATAGAAGAAAGGGGCGGGCATGTCACATACTAGAGAGTATTTGATTTAGGGATTTGATGAGAAACTGATAAATGAGGTGACATAAAACAATTTTTTCCTTTTAGGCGGAAGTGACAAACTGCAAGTTTTGGATGTTTATATCAGTTTTATATTTTCTAAACATAAATTGTCGCTGTTTTGGAACACACTAGATACTGTAGATATCATAAAAAGGGATTAAAAAAAAGAAAAAAGGGATCCTTAAAACAGATCGAAACTAACATCTAGTACAGTTTACGGAACCTTTAACAGTAAAAGGTTTCACCGCTTGCCCAACAAAATGTATTTATTTTTTTTTAATGATAAGTTTTACATTGTTGAAAATATATTTATAATGAAGAAAACTACTGAATAATCAAACATATATATTTGTTTGCTTTAGCTGCAAAGGAATTGACTATGACTCCTTTTCAACCTAATGCGAATCTGTTATAAAACCTTAAGTTTCATGCCTATTTATAAATATTATGTCCACTCACTTTCTTCTGTAAATAGTATTTGTGTAAATGGAAGATTATGTATAGGAATATATTGCTGTTATTATCATGAGGAATTGGTTAATTGTTTTTAGTTTTCTTTTCCTGATTAGGGAATTTATTTTAACAAATTTGCTGTAAAATGTCTAACAGCTGTTGTGAAATGAACATCTTTGCAATAATAATAATAATAATAATAATAATAATAATAATAATAATAATAATAATAATTAACTTATTATAAATAGGTTATATAAATTATTTAGATAGATTGTTGGTGATTAGATCGGTGTCAGCCTGATTGGGTACCTTTACTATCACAACTTTTATAATAAAGACCTAAAGTGATTTTAGACCTACAACACAATATTTCTGTAAATTTAAGACTTTTTAAGGCCTAAAATTTAGTTTTTTTAAATTTAAGACATTATTTAAACTTTTGAGAGCCCGTGGACACCCTGTTAAACTTTTAGGTTTAAATTAAGGTAAATAAATGATGAAAACTTAAGTAAAGTAAAACTTTCCCTTAATACAATAGACTCCTTTACCTGGACCTCTTTCCCATCTGAGATCTTATCTGGTGGAGCGGTTTCCTCAATCTCCACTTCAATAGAGTTTCGTTTTGAGGGTGGTGTGACTGCTTTGTCGAAGTCTAATTTGGTCACAGTGGGGTCGCTGAGGGAGAGAAGACAAATCACATAAGTTTTGACAACATGCCAGTTTCCATTTAAAACAGTTCAGCAGCCTTGTTTGGGGGTCTGGAGTTTTACGCAGCACGCAACAGCTACTTTATTAAATGCCTACACTAGGTTACGAAGCAAGAATGTCAAGTCATCTCATTATCTAAATATAGAGCACCAATTACGTTCCCAGACAGATTAAGTCATTGTTTATCAAAGACTGCAGAATCATTTAAGATCTTTAAGCTACAAGATGCTCTTTTAGGAAGCGAGTTTGTAGTGATCAGCTGGAGTGCATGTAAAGACATGTGCACCTGGGTAGAGAGTGGGCATCTGGGTGGCCCATGGGTGCGGTTTCATGGCTCATCGCTGAACCCAGATCAGCCGCCTGAGGACTGAATGAGGTATTGACTGACGGAATGGCTCTTCTCACCAACCTGCCCCAGGTGGCGATGTTGATGTTCATCTGAGGGGCACGCAGGAACGTTTTACCTGAGAGGAACAAGGTTTATGCATGAGATAAAAGAAAGCAGAAGTTTGATGTCAATTTTATTAGGTATTGAAGACCACATATCCTATAGTGGGAATGAGATTTTTATGATTGTGATAATTAGTTAAATTCAATTCAAGTTTATTTGTATAGCGCTTTATACAATATTTATTTTTTCAAAGCAGCTTTATAAAAAGTGCATATTAGTGCATTACAATAAAAATTAAGATTAAGGTTATTAGCATAACTTCTTTAATTACTAATAAATTTAACTAGTAACTAATACTCTTAAACAGTCAAAGTATATTCATTCATTCATTTTCTTTTCAGCTTAGTCCCTTTATTAATCCGGGGTCGCCACAGCGGAATGAACCTTCTAATCCAGCATATGTTTTATGAGGCAGATGCCCTTCCAGCTGCAACGCATCACTGGGAAACACCCAAACACTCTCATTCACACACATACACTACTGTTCTGCAATTCACCTGTTCTGCATGTCTGAACTTGTGGGGGAAACTGGAGCACCCGGAGGAAACCCACGCAAGCACTGGGAGAACATGCAAACTCCACACAGAAATGCCAACACAGTAATCACAATACCGTGATACCGTAAAACCAATTCATCCAAGGTTATCATACCGTCAGAAAATTATATCGGCCCAAGCCTATTAGCACCGCTTGCCTTCCTTTTCCTGTATGTACGTTTGCTTTTTTTTTTTTTTAACTGTTTATTAATATTTGTAAATAGCCCACACTATTGTATATAACTGTAAATTATTCATGACTTTGCTATAATTACTTATGGTTTATTTACCTTGGTGACCCTTTATTCAGACTGTTTGTGACTGTTGGTGACTGTTTTTAATCATTTGTGAAAATCTGATCAAATTTAAGACTTATAACTTTCAAAAATCATCATTTTTCTAGCTCGTGTGAAACAATGTGCACATAGAATTGTCCAGTCACTTATAATCAAGGCTAAAACATAAAATAAAATAAAAAAGCATTTTAAGGTCTACAATCAAAATCTAATTAGAGCCAATTCAATAGTATATTGGATATAATACATTCAGTAAAAGACAGCAAATATTACTATACAACTTGTATCTAAAATAAATTATCTTTCAATTATAACACAGATATTAATATAAAAAAACTAAATAATAATTTTTAGGAATTTTAGAGTTTTAGTTTTCAAAAAATTTGAATGTAGATTCTGTGTGCTCAGAGTTAACTACAACTAAATTTTGTAGATTTAGATGTAGTTTATTAACATTTTATTTAATATTTTTCCCCAACATATTCATTTTGAGCGTACCAATTATAAACTGTGATATTATTCTTATTGTTGTTATTTTGTTAGATTAGTTCCAGTTTCAGCTCAAGTTACTGACTAATCTAATGTATATGCACAAATATATTATTGTAAAGCATCCTGTAGAAAATATGAACTGAAAGGAGATGCCTATAGGGTGTGTATTCACTTATGCGGAGCACTGTTTGAGGTTCCATTACTTTCTGAAAAGGCTCCTCTAATGTAGGGAGTAGGCTGTTCATGAGATTCTGGAACTCAGCCTAAGTCTCTAGACCAGCAATCCTCCTCCTCCTTTGTCTATAAATGGTTCAAAGGAGTTCAAACAAGAAGGTCAAAGTTCATTCTGACTTCACTGTGTAAACACTGGCCCCACAGAAGTGCAATATTGAACCACGGAACTGTGTCAAGAGTATCCTGCTCAATCTAATCTGTTTAAGAGAGCATGTCAACCCTTCTCAACACTGAGGCACATTTGCCACTTCATAATCTTACCTTGCTGTTTGGAGAAGATTTTCTTTTGTCTTTGTAGTTTGGGTCGCCTCTCAATGACTGGGTTAAAAAATGTAACCTGCAACCAAAAGGTGGAGATAATCTTAATAAAATTGTCCTCAACAAGGCCATCAGTCTTATATAATGCATGTTGGTTGGTGAAGAAAAAAATTCAAGCACCTCGGCAAACAGTGTTCCTTGTGGTTCCAGGTAGAGGCACATGCCGTGCCGTTGGTTATCCAGGAAGTCCTCTAGACGTAAAAACTTCACTGCACACAGCGAGCGCCAGTCTCTCCAATACACAGCAATCTCCAGCTCACGAGACTAAAGGCCAACCAAAACAAAAACAGAACAATTAATACAAATCAAAAGCAGATAAAATACAAACACACACATTTATTTTGGAAACCGTTAAAATGTTTCTATTATACAGTGTAATGTAGCTGCTTGTGGATGTAAATAGTCTGCAAAAAATTAAAAGCCAAAGTGCACAACAAACAATGCTGGTATCTGCCAAAATGAAGAATGAAATGAAAAGAATATTGGAAAAATAAATATAATATAATATAATATAATATAATATAATATAATATAATATAATATAATATAATATAATATAATATAATATAATATAATATAATATTATATTTGGGAACAGAACCAACAAAATTATGATGATTCCGGAAGGGTCATGTGACACTGATGACTGGAAAAATGGCAGTAAAAAAACAAACAAAATAAATAAATACAGAAATAAATATATATATTTTAATATATTAAGTGGAAAACATTATTAATATAATATTCTATAAATTTAATATACTATAATAATATTTTAGAAAATAATATTTATTTGTTTAGATATTTATAATTAATTAAGTAAGTACAACGTTGGGGAACAGTAAAGACATTTTAAAAAAAGATTTCTAGGACAAGATAACTAACTAACTAACTAACTAACTAACTAACTAACTAACTAACTAACTAACTAACTAACTAACTAAATAAATAAAGGTTTTCTTTATTCAGTCTATCAGGTCAGTTAATAGTATATGGAGAACTGTTTTTTTGCCAGTTAAACATTAAAATGATCTTAATGATCAATATTAATAGTAAAACAAAACAAACAAACAAAATCTAAAAGTAAAACATTCATATTTGTCAAAAATAAATATATAAACTAAAAACTATTTTAAAAAAATACTTTAGTAAAATTAATTAAAATAATATTTAAAATGAACAGATAGAAAGCTAAAATAAATGTACATGTCAAGTTTCAAATGTTTCATATTTATTATTGAATTATTTTAGATTTAACATTGTGTTTTATTCATATTTTAATCCCCCCATATTAACATGGTCCTCTATATGATAAATGATTTGAAATCAAATCATAACCACAGTTCAAATGCTGCCAGATGAGCTTAAGTTGAACATTTTAGAACATATTGCCCTGTCGTTCACACAGCCAGCAATAATCTGCCTTATGAGCAACAGTAAGAGTGAAGCTTTGCCCCTTATGAGTACTATTACACTTCACAGCCAACGGTTTGACATTTACAGGCCTTTTACAGGTCTTTTTAGAGTCTGTCTGCCATTGCACAACTGCTGATTAGCGCTCTCACGTTGCCTGCCATGAGATTAAACGCTTAGGCCGTCGCACAACCAAAAGCAAGTCCAAACCCACAGACATGTGTGTGTGTGTAAGTTCTTTCAATAATCAGCCATCATAAATAAAAAAGACAATATAATAACAGAGCCAGTGGTCCTACAGGAATCGCTAATGAAGTAACTGAACTATTTCCAATGTTTTCCCTAAGGAGTCAATTATTTCACATTTATTTAACCCTGGTCCATCAAGAAGAAACCTGAGCACAACCATCAGAAGAAAAAATAAAGAGTGTCTGAAAGGAAAAACTAAATCAACCCATTTATTAATGTGGACAGAGAAAGATATGTTACAGTGAAACTTAAAATAATAAAAAACTAATGCTAAAGGGATAGCTCATACCACAAGTGTACGTATTTGTCATCATTTACACATCCCCACTTGTCTCAAAAATGTTTTTTTTTTCCTTTTCTGTAAAACACAAAATAAGATATTTTGAAGAATGTTGGAAACCGGTAGCCATTGACCTGCACAGTATTTTTGTTTTTCTGCTACAGAAGTCAATGGCTACTGGGTTTCAACTTTCTTCAGACTATCTACTTTTGTGTTCAGCAGAAAAAAAAATCTTAGTTATGTTTTAAACCACTTTAAAGTGAGTAAATAGTGAGTAATGCTAAGTTCAGACTGCACAATTTTTAAAGCACTGTGAAAACATCTCTAATATGACTACATGACTATATAGTCTCATGTTTTGTTTACACAGCAGGATGGATCAGTGACAGAGGGTTTCACACTGCATGACATTACAATAGGAAGAATCGCTGACAACTTTGTCTTGGTCCGCAAACTATATCTCTTACAACAAAACACAAACGAAAAGTGCATCATGCTCAAATCAATGCACACTCGCTGACAGGTCCAGATATTTAGCATGCCAAATATCTCATGGGTGTTATTAACTCATCAGCAATTCTCTCAGATCGTGTATTTGATAGTTAATACTGTGTGATTGTTACTCGCATGAACAAGCAGCGATTTGCCGGTGATTTCAGCCATTTGGCAAGTCAAAATTGGGGCTAAAATTATGCAGTCTGAATTCGGCATTAAGTTTCATATTTGGGTTTACTAGCCTTTTAACTGAAAACATATTAGCAAGTTAACTGTTACACTGGATGCTAAAGGCTATAATGAAGCTCAATTTTCAATTTCAGTTTTCAGGTGCTCTATTATCCTACTATACAGTTGCATGAAACAAATGAAAGAATTATGGAGACATTCCTGGTTAATTCTTTGATAGGAATGGTTTCAACCTAACCTTCACACTGTAGAAGAATGGAAAACAATTGTAATAGACATCTGGATGATGAAAAACTTTACATTCTGTAAAAAACAATAAATAAATAAAAAAAATAAAAAAATAAAAACATAAAGGGTCTATTTTATGAAGTAAGCTGAAATCATTTGTGGACTCTGAAAAGTAACAATGCTAAAATAGTTTTATAATATATCTCAGTATTGTTAAATGCAATGCAAGTATGCACAGTAGGGCTGTGTGATTAATTGATATTGTATAGAAAAAAACTAAAATCATGAACAAGATACAAAGTATTATTGATTATTATTTAATTTGTCCCAAAGATGCGTTGCAATGTAATTATAATGAAATTGGATGATTAGAATGTATAAAAAGACATGATATCAGAGTGAAAAACCAAACATTTTACAAGAGAAAAAATATATAAAAAAAGTTTAAAGAATGTTGGTTAACTGTTAACAATATCCATTAACTTACGATAATATTATATGGAACTTAACTGTCTGGATATAGAAATTCTTCGAAATATAAAATCCTAATATTTGTGTTCAACAGAAGAAAGAAGTTTGCATAAGTTTGGAACATGTGAAGGGTGAGAAAATTAATGTAAAAAATACAAAATAAATAGATAAATAAAAATAAAAGCTTTGCTGTCAGCAAGTTGTCTAATATTTGTCACCACATTCAGAGTTTTTTGCCAGAAACTTTTTTGCCATATGTAAACAAACATTATATCAGAGCAGATCAGGCTGCTGTTTTTGATCAGTTTGTTCAAATTGTTATTTATATTTAGCCTGTTGTCTGATTCCTTTTTATTTTCTCAGCACTGTATATCAGCATTCAGGTTTAGTAAGAGTTACAAAATTTTTAAATGTACAGACAGTCAACTGAACCAATTTTGCTCGATATAATTCTGCTTTGTAATTTTCAATTTCCTTGACAAAAAAATAAAAATAAATAATAAAAATAATAAGTTTTGTTCTGTACATATATGAGCACAGAGATTACAGATGACTTCTGATCTGCCTTGTGAAACTTTCCATTAGAACTGGGTCAAATCTGGGATTAACATTTCTAAAGTTAATTGAGAGAGGCTGGAATGGAGAGCATGTGTGCATATGTGTGCCCATCTACTCATATGTTGGGAGAGGATTATGGGATAAGGCTATGGTTTGACAAGTGTGCTTTATGAAATTTCTCATGCATTACCCGGTCAAGTTCCAGCGTGAACTTCTGGTCCCAAGATTGGTTGCTAACTGGCTTCCAATGGGTCTGTCCCACAACTGTGTTGTCCAACTTTAGAACGGCACTGATTTCATCTGCCATACCAGCACAAAAAAAAAAATAAAGAAATAAAAAACAGATATATTTATTAGGGATAGATTCATTAGGGATTACTTAATACATTTACTTATTGCAATCTTGTAATCTGTTATCTAATACTTTTCAATTTAAGTATAAAGCAAATACTGGTATATGCAATTAAATGATTAAGTTAATAAAAATCTGCAATACAAAATTTGAATTAAATATCAAGCATTTGAATTAAACTTAAAAAGGTAAGTAAATCAATATTTTAATCAATTGAAAGCACTACTTACAATATACACTGTAATAATAATGAAAACTTATGGTAAACAATGTAATTTAATGGCAACACTTCACGATAAGGTTATATTAATTAATGGTAATAAATTTATTTACTAAGACAAACAATGAACAAAACATAATACATTTATTACAATGATTAATAATCTTTTCTAATGTCAATGAAAATAGGTCTGTTAGTTTATAGGAATGTTAGTTCATTGTTAGTTTATGTAAACTCACTGTGCATTAACTTAACAAGCATGCATTTGGATTTAACAATGCATTTGTAAATGTTGAACATTGATCATACAATGCTGCACAAGTATTGTTCATTATTAGTTTGTTGAATGATGAAACATTGTAGTGTGACGAGTTTAATTTAATTGCTTTTGGAAGAAGTTTTTCTGCTCAGTAATGTTGCATTAATTTTAATAAAAAAATACAGTAAACATTTTAACTATACAGCAGTATTACAGAATAATTATTTTATAACTTAATAAATGTAATTAAAAATAAAATAAAAACACTTTCTCGCTTGTCAACTGGCAGTCACTTAAGCCAAATGCAGTTGCCAGGCTGTTTCTTGGCTAAAATCCTGTGATTTCACAGGCCCTAAAGGTCATCAGAACAGAACAACAAGAGGTTTGCAGCTATATTGTTTGCTAGTTAGAATTAACTATTTTTTTCTTTATAGCCTATATTACATAGAATAGGTGGTCACTGACAAGACTGAAACTGTACCCAATAACCGTACGTTCACACCGAAAGCGGCGAGAGCGTCCAAGGTCGCTCTGGCCGCCCTGGCGACAACGCTGTCTGCCTTCAGCTCCGGCGGCGAGAGTGTCAAAACTCGCTACATTGATCTCGTACTTAAAGGAGCCGTTGCAGCATATCAGTTACATTCCTGCATAAGGCATGTTTTTAGCGTGAAAATGTTGCGCACTTCTTATCAAATTCATAAAACAATGGAAGATCAAGTTGCATGTGGTGTGGCTTTGCTCTATTTATCCAATATGTGTCCATATGTCTGAAATATCCTGAAGCAGCTAACGTTATACTGTTTTGTACTGTCACATCGCGTGAGATTCCCTCTTTTTTAAGATAAATTTATATAACATTAATGAACATCAGTAACTTATTTAATGTATGTTCCTGTAAGAAAACATTGTAAATAATTGGAAATCCGGCGACCGAAATAATCAAACCCTTGGGAACAACTGTGGTCGGAACCAAAGTTCACAGGTCTGTGTTCCCTGAACTGCTATCAAGCGTTGGACGTCTTCATTCTGATTGCTTGCCGCCGAACCGCGTCATAGCTCATTACCATAAAGTTGACTTCATTTCAACTCTCCTCGATGCTCACGCCGGCGAAAACGCGCTGCGCTGCTCCTCGCCGCTTATCGTCGCCTATCGCCGCCGGCTCTCATTGAAAATGAATGACTTCCGGCTACTTTGACGCTCTCGCCGCTTTTGGTGTGAACGTACGGTAAGGTTAAGAGCATAATTACAGGTAAGAATCAATTTAACTTTCTGCAACCTTTATTTAGTCATGTGCTGTATTTAGACTTGTAAATAAATAAGTTTTAAATGTTTTAATTACTATGGCATTAATGTCATGGGCTAACTAAAAAGATTAATCAGGCCCTTGAAAAAAATAAAGCAAATCAATTCATTTCTGGCTTTAGTATTGTGTCTGAAACAGATGTGACAACATGCGAAAAAAAACAAACAAAAAAAACATCTTCTGTTTGTTTGCCTTGTGCTCATTATAGGTCATGGAAATGTAGCTTTTTAGTCAGTAGCTATGTTTCCATCCAAAAATTAGAATTAACTTTATGCTCAAAACTGGATTAATGCATAATATACATGCAAATAAAGCAGCGTTTCCATCCAGCGAGTCAAAGCGAACAAAATGTTAACTTCCTGATTAACTGGCGCCAAATATCAACAGTAAAAACTGTATCTGCTGCAGTAGCAAAAGCTGTGTCAATCTTTTCTTCATCTAATAAGTGACTTGTGCTTCAGAAGGCCATCCTAACACAAAGTGAACACGCGGTGGCGTTTGAAGGTGTTAGACGCGGAGCACAGACGCTCTTGATTCCTGAGGTTACAATGGTTTGCAATGCAGTCAGCCTGCTGGTTTGTCCATTTACACACATTTTTATCATCACATGACCTTTTTTTTAATGCGCATACTGGAATCAGTCTCTTAAGACAGTTCTGTGAGGTAATAATACTGAAAAACATTGATAACAGAACTTGGCTACGGGATTTTAGTATGACTAAAACAACATTTCAGATGTTGTGCAATGTGGGTTGATCCGCTGGCTTATCCATTAATGCAGTCCTATCATGCCCATTTTTTGTCCCATTATTATGCCCATTTTAACTTTTTTTGAGGCATATGCTGTAATTTATTTGTTAAACCTTGTAATATATATGTATTTTGATCGTTTAAAAATGTATCCTAATTAGTTGTGTGCATAGATTTTTATGCACATTTTGAAAATGTCATGTTTTTATAAAGCATCAATTCAGGCGACATTCCAAAATAAACAGAAAAATAGGTGGATAGAAACATAGCAAGTGTTATATTCGAAGTAGGGCTGGACGATATGGCAAAAATTATATCACGATATATTTCTTAATTTCAGTCGATACAATATAATTCTGATATCGATATGGACAATATTAAAAAGATAGGAAAAAACTGCAGAGAACGCACACAATAGATGTCTGTACCTACAGATGTCTGCAAACTGAATTTGCAAAGTCTTTAATAGCTACAGCCTCATAACTTTTTTTTTTTTTATAAAAAAGTACAAAAAAAATGAATGTTCACTTTTTATTTATATTTAGCATTTACAAACAGATGAGTATATTCTTAGTTCTGGTTGCTTATCTGTCTATTTACATTTGTGTATGTAATTACTTAATTAAACTAAAAGGTTTAACATAAAATAGTTCTAATAAATTTTATATACATTTTTCATTATTTAACAGATTTAATACCTCTGTTAAATCACATTCTTTATATTTCATCAATAAACAGATTCCTGATAAATATGATGGTAAATTTTATTCTGTCAGTTTGCTGGAGTGCTATACCAGCATGTAGCGAGTTTGGGTTAATTTGGGTGTTTGTTTGTGCGAGGATCAAGTATATGCAAGGATCGAGTTTATATGTATGTGCGTGTGTTAATGTGGGAGTATATGAAAGGATTGAGTTTATATGTATGTGCGTGTGTATGTGGGTGCATGCATACATCAAGTTTATATGTATATGTGCAAGTTTCATACATGTTTCATACATGGCATAGGCTTGTAATTTATAATTTATAGGTGTATATGCACGTGTTGATAACCAAAGTTTGATTTGAACTTGATTAAAACCTCAAAGCCATCTGTGTTTGCGTCATTGCCTTCTTTTCTGACACCGCTGGTTTTGGTGTCGGGGAAGTGGATGGTGGTGATAGTGAGGCAACAGGTAGGCTAAAACTTTTATGATGCCTTATCTTCTGACTCTCAGTATTATCTATCAGGTGAAACAGATTTAATGTGTTCCCGCTGCTAGCCGGCACCACTCTCCAGCATATTTTGCAGGGCACCGAAACTATAAGTTAATCGGAACTTAAAAAGCCAAACCATTTCCACACCACTGCATTAGTCTTTCCTCTCTTATCTCTTTCGTCTCTTATCAACTATTTCATCTGCATTCTTACTTGTGGAAGCTTGTGTATTTACATCTGTATTCAGGGTACTCATTTTGTAGCATGTATAAGATCTTATATATAACAAAAAAAAAAAAAAAAAAAAAAAAAAAAAATATATATATATATATATATATATATATATATATATATATATATATATATATATATATATATATATATATATATATATATATATATATATATGCAAATTTATTTAGAAATACCGGAAATGGTTTTAAAAATCATATCACTGTTATTAAATAAAAAAATCTACCGCGATATATATTGATATTGAATTATTTTCCAGCCCTAATTCAAAATGTTATAGATAAAGAGTCACTTTGAAAGTAACATTCAAGATATATCAATGCAGATTACACGTGTCAATTTATATCATTTGATTTGTTCAGCTCAACAACACAGTTCCTTAGTTCTGATTTTAACTTCGATTCTGCACATCTGCATATAAAAGAAGAGCAAAGCCACTCAACTGGACAGATCATCAGACTTGGAGAGGGTTCTGCTGCTGCCAGATTTGTTCTTGTTTCCTCGGCTCATAAATGAAGAGCGTGCTTCACTAGGGCTCCAGCCGGGCAGAGAAACAGATGCTGTCTTCGAGCGACCCGGGACGTTCTCCAGAAGGTCCTGACAGCCCATGAGCCTCACGTCTAATGTGCCTGTGGATTTACAACAGAAACCCTGCTCAGAGCCAAAACTCTGCATGATTCGAGATGTAAATCACCAAACACATCCATTCTGATTAACACAAGATAATAAGTGTGCAAACAATTACAAGTGTCTATTTCAAGACACAAGCGATGGTTACAATGCCTTATATGGAAAGCACTATGGGTCTATAATGGTAGCGTAAGCCCTCTTGGTTCTCCTTCAGGGTGAAGGTCAAAGTTGTGTGTGATAAAGCTAAGGGTGGGGGAGGGTCTGCTGAGGCTGTGTGTGTTGACAATGTGAAAAGTCAAATGTAGTTTCTACATGCCTATAGCAGACAGCTGTTGTTCACTGCTAAAATAGGGCTGAGTGTACAGTACCATGTGTTGTTAAAAAAGACTACAGGGCCTGTTCACACTGGACGCTGAAGTGAAAGTGCAGAGAACAGACTATAAATGAAAAATGCAATGGATCCATTCACAGAAACAAAACAATTATTTTATTAATGAGGTATGTTTTCTATCTACAAGTAGAAGACACCAGACATCCTGTGCAATGCAAGTGTGTGACTGAAATGTACTCCAGTACTGTTGGGGGCGCCATTTTTAAAAATAAAAATAAAAACATTAATGAACTTTAAAGAAGAAAACTTACTGGCTTAAACCATGGTCACACTAGACTTTTTGTTCATTTGACTTCCCTTCATATACATGTGAATTTCGAATTTTGTGATATAGAACAGATCAAATCTGGTCAAGTAAGATTAACTCTGACCTGCATATTTGGACAAACACAGAAATTGCACATTTTAGCAGTTCTTTGTGAAGCACCATCACAGATTTAGCATGCTTCAGGTCTGGCTGTCTTGGTTAAGCAAATAAATCCAAAACATACTATCAAGTGAGCATGAAGCAAAGTAAGACTGGTTGATTTGATTCTTACTTTGCTTTATACTACCTTGACACCAGAACAACAGAGTTGAAGCAATTGCTATTGAGACGATTGTGACGCAGCCCTACAAGGACAAAGCTTTTATTATACCAGTCAATCTCTTCAGTTCTTTTGCTAATGATAATGTGGGGAAGAAACAGCACTGTTTTATCAAATTAAATACATTTTAGGTTTAATTTATAATGCTGCTCTGTGCAGTCTAATAAAACGCACAGCATTTTAAAACGTCTTTGGTGTTTCTCTGTTTTCTATAAAACTAAAAAGGAAAATTGAGGGTGTGTGAATTCATTAGCATTCCGACACAGGACCATTACATGAATTCAAACTACTTATTTCTCTGGATTAGAACATTCTTCAAAACGTTTGAGATAATCGAAGTCAGCAATATATATATATATATATATATATATATATATATATATATATATATTGCACTGTTCTAGTGTATTTTGAATATTTTAATCAAGAAATTTTACAAATTGTGCCTATATTTTCGGGTTATTACACATTAAATCATCAGACATGCATAGAGAACATCAATTTTTTTTATTGATTTCACATGCACAACAACAAATTGGTAAGCTCAAACATATTTGATTAACAAAACAAACAAACAAAAAACTTTAGTTCTTAATGTTCTTTTCAATTTCTACTGGTCATATTTAATTTTCTTAGATTTTTTTTAATAAAACAAAATTGCTCAGTCAATAAGGTTGTAAAAAGTGCATTTTTAAAAAGACATTAGAACATTTTAAGTATTAAAGCATAATATAGTTCTAGAGAAATTGACTTTCCGAGGAGTTAACAAAATCTCTTAGGATTCATTAAACATATGCTGATTTGTGTTTCAAACACACCATTCATTCATTTGATCATTCACTAGTTCATTGTTCCTTCTTCTATGGCTGTTTACAAAACTTCAAATAATATATACCCTTTATTTTATGAATGAAAAAAATCCATCACCAACTGCACTGGAGTGCACTTAATTTGAATTCGCCTTATAAATACTAAGTGTAAATGGTTTTAAGATTGACTTCACTGTTGTTGTTGCATCAAGTGTGAACAGGTTTTAGGCTATCATTTCTAAAACCCAGCTGAAATGGTACCAGTAAACAACGTGTTCAAATCCACTGGTTTATCATGTGACTGTGCAGTATGTATGTTTTGTTACCGGTCAGGGCAGCAGGTTTGGCCACAGTGCTGTACTGGTTGCTGGTGGACATGATGCTTTGGCGGGGACTGTTAGGAGGGGAGGCCACCATTGCTAACTCCTCCATGATCAGGGTGCCCTTTGGGTGATTTTTGGGCAGTTCGCTGAGCCTCTGCTCCAGAGAAAACTTCAGCAAGTCCAGCTTCTGACTAGACTCATTCAAGCGGGCTTGAGCCTGCAAGACAAAGATTGAATGCTTACAAAATTATACAGACAGACAGTGCTCAGCATATGCAAGTACACAACAAAAAAAATCTATCTTTTAAATTGATATTTTTAATAGGAAGCTATACAATATTATATCTGTGCATATACATAAGATTAGTCAGTACTGAAGAAAAATCTGGAGCTTATCCAACAAAACCACTTACGATAATGTTCAACAAACTAGCACACCCAAATGTATGTTATAGAAAAATATTAAATACAAAATAAAAAAGGGAAATTTTAGTTTTTGTTGAAATTTTGTAGGTTGTAATTAAATTTTTTTGCAATATTTAGCTTGAATTTAATTGTTTATCTTTCAATTTCTAAATATGTTTGGTGATTAAAGTATTATGTTAATCAATATTTCTGTTTAATAAATCGGTTTTGTTTAAATCCACCAAAATACATTGCTTATATTCACTGAGAAATAGATAAAAATATTGATTTTCAAAATGGGGTGTAATCAATTATGCTGAGCACTGCAAATCTGGATACAGATGGATGCAAAACCTCCAAAGAAATGCTTTAAAAGTAAAGGTTTGGAAACTGTAATGGAGAAACACAGTAGTACATATATGTATGGATGTATGCCACAGTTTAACACACTCATCATCAACTTGAGAGCCTCAGAGATCAGGGATTCAAATTTATCTGGTAACAAATGCTGTTATAACAAATTCTTTCTTGGTTTATTTCTAGAACACACTCATGTATGCAATTCGGAATTATTTTTGACTAGTCTAACAACATTTAAAAGCAAAATTAAGATTATTCATTCATTTTATTAATTCATGATATTAACTCATTTATATGTTTAATTAAAAATAAAGCACAGAAATTAATGGTTAACACAACACTTGTATTTTAGCTGAAAACAAAACATTACTGTGTTGTGTTTTACATAAAAAATAAATAAATAAATACTATTGAGGTCTTTCTACGTCAAGAGTTCATATTAAATCCAATGTGTTAACAGGTCTTTTTGAATTTACAAGTGAAAATAAAACAAAACAAACTGTTTTCTCTCGGAAGTCACATATCCACTATTCTTATATACTCAACATTTATTTCTGTCTTTCTGTATGCCTGTAAACAGTATGATTGTAGCTTATTTTATTTCCAATAAGTTAAGAATGCAAGCATTTTACATCAATTTGAAAATGTACAGCTAAGTACCCCCTCCAAAAATACTATAATATCTATAGATTTTTTTTATTGTTTTAATTCATATTCTGTGCAGACGCTCTATCCCACAAAATCAAACAAGACTTTTTTTTTTCCTTGTTCTACCAGTTGTGCAATAGGAACAAACCCAAATATGCAGTGATTCAGCAGCTGTCTAATTTACTGCTATCATGTGTTGCCAGCATTTTCACCCTGTATATAGATTTTCTAACCAACAAAAAAAAAAAAAAAAGGTTTCTGTCACGTAGGACAGATATTTTCACTGTTGCATCCCAAAACTAAATAATTTAAACACATTTTAATATAAACCGCTGTATAAAAAACTGTATTACTCTCACAATTATAAAACAATTACATAAGAAAGAACATTTAAGCATTCTGTGTCATAGCACAATTAATATGATACACAATGAGAAAAGCTGTAAACATCTGCTGCTTCAGGCAACAAAAGCTGTTACAAGCAAACAGTTAAATGAGTAACTGGATTAAACAGCTATACAGGCATGAAAGCATATGCAGAGAACACTATATAAAAACTATGAGGATTTAGACTGACCTCAGAATGAGCTTTCTTCTCTGTCACCTTTCCTGTTCCCAATAGCTTCATCACATTTTTGGCACCATCGGCCACAGCAGACTCTATCCGGTAGTGATGTCGCAGCTCCTCTATCCTCAGGTCCAGAGGGCTGATGATGGGCTTGCTTGTAGTCACTGCCAACATAAGATTTTTGCTTTAACATCAAAATGTTAAACCGCAACTGAGGAGCCGTTCACACTAGTGCATTTTTAAACTGTGTTTTATAATAAAAACGCTCCTTGTGCAGACTGTTTTTATGGTGTTTCAGAAAAATTATCTCGGTCTACACTTTACAGGCTAAATCAGTTGTTTGCTTGGTGATTTAAAAAGTCAAATAAATTTTATTACAACTATAAAAATTACCCAATAATTATTATTTGAACCATAACTTACAGAAGAAAAACATTGTAGATTTTAAAAGTAAAAAGCAAAAACATGCAAATGAAAAGCTATCAGCCTTTAAATTATTATTTTTCATAGGATCATTGGGTTTATGTTAGATTAACAATAGCAAAAAACAATAGAATAAGCTGCAGCAGATTGATTTTATAGCAGCAGGTTAAACTTTCTGACATGGTAAATGCCATAAAACTATGGCAATCAAATACATAAAAAATAAATAAAGGCCACAACTGAATACTGAGAATGACCTTTGAGTGGCGGTCTCCAAAATTAAACCTAGAATAGACTTGTGCTGAAAACATTGTGTCCACAAGTCTCTTTAGTTGAGGTTAATATTATATTAAACAAATTAATACATCACTATTTAAATAATGAGGTTGTTAGACCAACACTTCTTTTGTGTTGTCAATATTCTTGTGTTTATATAGACCTATTCTTGTGTGCAATCATTGTATATTTATAACCACGTCAGAGGAATTTTGGGGGTTGCAAGTCACTGGCATTGTTATTTTAGGGATCGCGGGCTAAAAAGTTTGGGAACCCCTGGCCTAAATCACATGATGCATGACCATTCACTCTCACTGGGCATTCACATAAATTTTACTAAACCTCAAGTGTTTTTTTAACCCAAGTTTCTTTCTTCTGTTAAATACAAAATAAGATATTTTAAAGAAAGATTAAAACCTGTAACCATTGACATCCATAGATAGAAAAACAAATACTATGGTAACAGAATTCCAACATTTCTCAAAATATCTTTTATTGTGTTTAACAGAAAAAAGAAACCCATAAAGGTTTGAAGTAAATGAGGACATCATTTTAATTTTTAGGTGAACAATCCCTTTAAATACATCTATATGAAAAGTGACATTTTCTGGGGAGTCTAATGCGATTCAGGTACAGAAATTGATGATCTAAAATTTAAAACAATACTGCAAAGTCATCTCCATTGTATAAATCATTCAATAAAATCTATATTTATTAAAGTTACGAACTGTACTATTTCTTGTCTCTTTATGCTTTAAGCTCTTTTGAAATGCTATACAGTTGAGCCTTAAAAGCACATGCAGATGATAAACTTTCACTCTAAACTGTGCAATGACTCCAATGTCTTGTGTTCTGAACTGCAGTTCCTGGTCAAATATTATCCAGACTCCACATTTCAGATGCTGCAATGTGTTTGTTGCAGATACACACACACAAAAAAAAAAAAAAAAAAAAAAAAAAGAAACTCACTGCACCTTTAAAAACAGTCCAATTGGTGCGTAGACCAAAAAAATTCTCAAATGAATAAAAGGATTAAAGGTCGGAATGTCCACACATTATCAAACAGTGATATAGATGCTGAAACTGTATAGCGTGCAGCACCTTTTTCTTTTTTTTTTTTTGTTTCAGTGTGGAATGGATGATCAACTTTCGGGAAATGATTAAAAATTAAGTTTGCACCCAGATCACAACTTTCAAATGTTCCTGAATTAGTGTAGAAGTAGTCTTAACATGACAAGCAGGTGTTCTTTTTTTCACTTGGTAATCAAATAATACAATACGTATGACAAGTGAAATATTCAATACATAAAGCCAAAAATATATATTACAGATAAGTAATTATATTGTTCAACAGAAAAAAAAGTGTCTGCAGCAGACTGATCTCACAGCACTTATATTCTATCACTTTCTGTATTCGCTCATTTTAGTTCAATATAGTCCAGTGAATAAGTTTTTATATACAACATTACAGTGCAAAGCATTTAGCTGTAATTAAAGAGAAAATCAGCTAGACCACATACCATCATTGTTCTCGTAGTTTATCTCGCTGGTCTGGCTGGCTTTGAGGATCTGCATTCGAATGAACTCTATCTTTGTCTTGCTGTCCTGAAGCATCTGCTGAGCTGCTGCAAGGAGTTTGCGGTCCTACAAATGAAGATAAACAGAAGGAAAACAACAACAGGGTCAGAGGGTTCAGAAAAAAAGATCTTTATAACAAAGTGTTTTTAAGTGCAAATCCATAGACCATAAACCATCAAACATGTATAAAAAGGGAATATAAACTATATCTAGTCTAAAATTATTCATTAAACAAAAATGTTGTATTCTGAGTAGTCAGTTAATAAGAGCTCCATGCCATTTAACAATTGAAGATATTGTATACATGTAGATAGTCATGAATGAAGATAAAAAATATATCACAAAATTCTGATGCTTTAAAATGTTCAAAAACAAATATGTTGAATTCTTGAATTCTATGTTGCTGAAGTCTTCTTACAACATAATGACCTAAAATGATAAACACATTTTCAGCATATTAACTTTTTATAATTATTTTGTTCCTGTAGAAAATGATTAGCAAGCAATTGTTCAAAGTACTTGATTCCTGAGAGCCAATAAGGTTCATTTTTGATTCACCGAGCTTCTGTTCATCCTAAAAAAATGTCAGTGTATTTCCAGAAGGTTTGGATTAAACCATGTGATTCACACTTTTCATTCATTTATCAATATTGTCAGAGTTTTTGGGTAAAAAGATTTTCAAATGAAAGACAGGAATCTCCAAGTAAGTAATTAAAATGACCTGCTGTGTACTGAAGATGAAAGAAAGTCTCATGGATTTGCAATGACGTAAAGGTGAGTAAATGACAGTATTTTCATTTTAGGGTAAACTAACCCGATTCATTGTATACATTTTATTTATTTAAAGTTATTAAAGGATGCAAAATTCATGTTCTATGACCACATACTTTTCTTTCCTCCTTGCTGCTGGTTAGAAGTGTGAAGGAATGTTTGCTTGTCATTCAGCATTCAGATCCAGAGAGAGCAGCCCAGGAGTCTCTAAGGACTGAACTTCCTGTAAGCTACCATTAGAGGCTGACGTTACCTTAGAGGCCTTTCCTCCGGATGTCTGAAGCAGCTGGGAACCTGCATGCAGGACTCGACGCTTGAATAAAACAGTCAATTCTTGACTGACCGGACAAAAATGCACTCACATAATTTTGTTTACTTTAAAATGAAATTTCTGTCATTATTTACTCAACCTCATGCCATTCCAAACCCATAAGACAACTCTTTAAAAGATGACCTCCAAGCCCATATATCACTAAAATGTTTTGTGAGCAGACTTATAATGAACAATTTGTTGTCACACACAAAAAAAAATTAAAATAAAAACAATCAATGGTAACCAATCTTGTCAACATTTTGACAAAGAAAGCTACTATGCAATAACATTTCCGTATCTATTAAGTGTCAGTGTCAGAGTTCACTGACTTAAAAAAACGATTTACTATGGATTGAGTGACCATTACCTGTTAAAACAAACAGTACAACAAGTGTATCACATCTCATAATTGCACAATCAGTGTTTGAACCACAGAAAAAAGTCAATAAAATTTAAACTTTACATTTATCACAGAAAAGCCATACATAACTAATTAGTTAACAACAATAAAGGCCCATTTGCTGAACCTATTTTATATTTATTACATTTTTACTTTTTTGATATTGGCCTCTCATTTATTGAACCACTAATTAAGATAAACACCATTCTGTATATTTTAAAATGCACAGAATCAGAACAGATGCTCAAAATTATGACACCTCCAAAACTCCACTAATTTCGGCTTTAATTCACATATAAATCTTGATCAGTAAACATAGATAATTTAACCAAATTAGCTTAACACATGAAATCAACATCAAGCAAACATGTTTGAGCTTCTGTGACCATATTCAATGGTTATGTCACTAGTTTAATTGTCTTCTAAAGTAATCACATCTTCAGAAAACAGATTTACCTTTTGACCTCTTTGAGTGTTTGAAACATCAGTTTTTAAGAAATACAGAGTTAAAAAAGTAGGTATTAATTTAATCTTATTAAAAAAGTTTATTTTAAGTTTTAAAGCTTAACAGTTCTGAGTTTAAAATGTATCAACAAACCATCCAGTCACATTTGAATGCTAAAAAAGTAGAGTAACTCAAAGTAGTTAGCAAAATCTTAGTAAAAAAGGCAGAAATCTCAACTCTCTGACTATGTGGGCGTGTCCGCTGGCTAGAATCGCTGAAACCACGTCCACTGTCTCAACTGACAAATACCACTACTAATAACAATAGGTTAATACATGCTTAATAAATTAGCTTATACAGCCACACATGTTTGAATGCACTCAAATAGACAATACCAGTCAGTCAGCTTGGATACGATTTCATTTTACACTGTGGTGCTCATAACGGAGCTCTGTGGAATGTAAGATTGCAAGTGTAATGTAAATGGTGATATAGACAAGGATCAGATTTTACAGATTTTAAGGAGTCCTTTATTCTGATTCAACATCAATACAATAAAATAAACAAATAGCACGATTTTGGCTGCTTAGCCAGCTATGGAGTGCCCTAGTTGTGTGCGGCACATTTCAGAACGGTTGTCAATCCGTGCTGAGAACAATTTGTTCATGCAGCAACATTCAGGCTTGGGCCTATGTGAGCAAACAACATGAACCATACCTGACTGATCTTAGAAATGTTTGGCACGATAGTGGAAAAGAGGCTAGTGTTTGGGGCAGGGCCATTTTATATTGTTACCATCTTAGCTCCGCAAAACCAGTTAACAATTTAACTGCAAAATTCAGTACAACATACTTCAAAGTATTTGTAACATATTTCAGCAACAGATTTCAACACTTTTATAATGATTTCAAACACATTTATAATGTGTTTAGAAACATTTCTCAAAATTATGTAAATGATGACAATTTACATCTTGGTGTACAACTAACACTTTAAACAATGGTATCGTTTTAAGATGTCAGAGAATTAAAAAGTAGATTATTTTTGTTGTCTACCATTCTATTTGGTGTCACAAGTTGCACAAAACCCTACAAATAAGAGCTTTAAAATTCTTGAACAGAAGAATCACGCGCCAAAAGAATCGCAGACGTATCACTTCATAAGAATAAGCCAAATGAAGTCATGTGTCTCGATGCTGACTATGTTTTTATGACAGCTTTTTGGAGAACACTAAACTGCTCATACATCTGGAAACAAGTCAGACTGCCTTGTTCTGTCTCCCTGTGTTTATCACTCCATATATTTCCCCCCAAACAACCATGCTGATTTAACAGAACTCCTTTGTCAGTCCAAGATGCTAATTTTAGCCGCGGAGCCTCTTTAATTAACTGAGTCGCTCTTGATAAAAGGGAGGAAAGGAGGGTCAGACGCTCAAGACCAAAGTCAAGCCAAACCAAGAGAGAGATTCTGCTGATACTACATGTATCGAGACACAGTACATGTAGAGTAAACCAGAACTGAAGAATGATTTCCTGAGGGTAGAGAAACATAACTGAACTGTTCTATTCCAGTTCTCTCTAATGTCAGCTACACCCAAGGGGGTTACAACCATGACATTGGCATATGTGTACAAATGAGTCTGGTCTGAGTTCCTTTACCACTTTTGGGAAAGGAAAGAAGATTTCACCTAATTTTAGAGGACATGTTTGACAACATCTGTTTTCATTTCTGAGGATGAATCTTCTCCCACAAGATCTTTAAGGGATCAAACGGCTTATCTTCTTTGGGAGTTTAGGGTATTTTGTGTTATTCAAAGCTGAAGTGTATTTGTAAAACTGTTTTTTCCTGTGCCAGCGTAACATGTAGAGGTTACATGTTTAACACTTAAAGGCTGATTTCATTTAGATGAAGGAAAAAAGTAAACACTGTGGCTTCATCAAAACATTTTAAACAGCCCAACTGAAACATAAGAGTGAGTTTGGGACACATATGGTCTGCCTGTTTAAAAACTTAAAAACTTTAACCAAATAATTGTGAGAAAAATAAATAAATAAAAGGCAGCAAAATAAATTTAAAACTGAGACAAAAAATAAACAAAATGACAAACAAGCTTAATAAAAAACAAAATGATAAAAATAAATCTTGAAAATCAAAATAGATAAATAAAACATTTTAATCAACAAAAAAAAAACAAAAAAAGAAGACAGAAACGTTTAAATTTAACTTAATAACAAAGAAACAAACAAAACAAATAAAAAAACAACAAAATAAAAAACAAAAATAAAACCGATGAAAACCTAAACAAACAAAAATTAAGACATAAGACAAGGACAAAAATTAAACATAAAAGCTGAACAGAAAAACAAACAGTTAAACTAAAAAGAAAAAGGAAAAAAACAAAAGGAAAGAAAAAAGCACATTCTTTCCAGACAATCTATATCCATGTAAATGACTGCTCTTATCTCCAGCAAACATATTAGTCTACAAAACCAACACACCACTGTTCCACTAAAGACTGGTTATTACCTTGGAAGAGCCATTGGAATACATCTGTATCATATTTTCCGCTCCTTGTTTGACTTTGAGCTCAATGTCGGCCTGTTTCTTCAGAGCGGCCAGACGATTGCTGTTGGTGGACATCCGGGTTTCACTCTTGGGGGTGTCTGGAGTTAGTGGGTACTCTGATGTTGAACAAACACAAAATCAACATCAAAGAGTTAATAAAACAGTAAAACAAGAATAAATAGAACATTTTTGGAATGCTGGAGGAAATGTATACAAGACTAGCTCAAGAAAACCACATTGTTCCTTTAGGGCAGCAAATGCTAAATGTAGGACAGCTAGAATGACCATCTGAATTATATGAAGAGCAGTGGTGAGACCAGATTTATTAACACAAGCTGTCTTTTTGGCATTAAAACAGTTTTGTCAGATTAATGTGTAGTTCTTATTATAAACAAAAAGGTCTTGGTTTGTAATGTAGAAATAAAACTGACACCTCAGACTAAAACTCTGAGAATAAAATCAGCCATAAAAAACTCACACAAAGTTCATTGTGTACATGACTCACAGTGATTGTCTAGCCTATGATTAAATAAAAAGTTTTTCTTTGGAGTTATTGCTTAAGGTATATTATATAACATAAAGAACATTTAACCTCCGAGCCAAAAGCACAATTTGTTAAGACATGTATCCAAATATTATGAAGGAGATTTTGATCTAACTTTAGCATTTGATGAGTTGTGAAACAAACACAATTGACAATGATAATGACACTCAGAGAAGGACTTGTGCAGGCAAGAAAAATGCTAATGTTCTCTCAAGTGACAGTGTGCCAGCTTCTCAAAGACGTTCTGTGAGAACAACTAGGCCATCATGGAAAGGCTTGCACAAGATTGAGCAAACACAACTCTTGAGGAGAAAAACTGAAAGAAGGGGGGCAAAACTGGATTCTCTGTTTTTACCTTAACTTGCCCCACTGAAATGATCAAATTCTAAATCACATCTAAAATTAGGTGAAGTTTAAAATACTTAAAAAAAAAAAAAATGTAACAAATTAAAAATTGTTATTTTGTCTCTGTGCAACACTCTCACAAACACACAAACAAGCATAGTATACACGTCAGCTTTGTTTTATGAATAGCTGAGGTTCAGAATGATGAGATCATCTACTCAAGTTCTGACAAGAAAACTGAACCACAAATTACACACCTGTGAAGGTAAGGTGGAAGCCCTGTTTCTGACAGCTCGGTCATGACATATAGAAGCCTAAACATTAATTTGAATGCAAACAAAACGTTAAATGTTAATGAATAAATATATTCACTTGTACACATTCAGTGCCACTAGCATAAAACTCAACAAGATATGCATCAATAAATGTATTATTTTAATGGCCATACCAAGAACCACATCATTAGATGAGATGTGTCCATTTCTTGATATCAATCAAGAAGTTATATAAAAGTACTGGGGAGGGAACAATAACTATTTTTTTTTGTAACAAATAGTTTTAAAATCAATTATGCCACTCATTATACATTTCTGTGGGGAGTTTGCATATTCTCTTTGCTTGGGTTTCCTCTAGGGGCTCCGGTTTCCCCCACACTCCAAAGACATGCACTATAACTGAATTGAGTAACCAGCGACCTTTTTGCTGTGAGGCGACAGCCCAATCCTACTTTCAAAGAACATTGGACATTTTATTCTTAATATGTAGACATTAGAATTTGAAGGTGAAAAATATCATAAACAAATAAATAATTTAACAATTTAAATGAACATTTATTAAAGTAACTTAAACTTCTGCCCTGTCTGGGGCAGGATCTTTCTGTGTGTTAAATGGTTGCAAAAGTTTATTTATTTTTTTGTCAGAACACATGACTATTTAAAGTGCCCCATTATAGATTTTTGAAAATAACTTAATGCAATATGTAACAGCTTGAAGTGACAGCATTCAGTTTTAGATCTAAAAGTGCAAAGTGTATAAAGTTCTTGGCTTTTTAAAAGAAAGAGTGGACTCTGAGTTGTTAATATGAATTGCCATCCAACTAGATCTTTACCAGATTTACTGTGACTCAAATCTTGTGTGCGCAGATCCTGGAAAACTTACTTACTTCAAACACTATAGCAGAAAACAAGGAATGGGATTCGAGTATGACCTTATTTATGACAAAAGATACACTGAGAGAAAATTATTTTATTGCCTAAAGTTCATTCATTTCCTTTGGTTTAGTCCCTTTATTCATCAGGGGTCGCCACAGCAGCGGATGCCCTTCCAGCTGCAACCCAGTACTGGGAAACATCCATACATACTCATATACTACGGCCAAATTAGTTTACTCAATTCACCTATAGTGCATGTCTTAGGACTGTGGGGGAAACCGGAGCATCGAGGAAACCCAAGCAAACACGGAGAGAAGATGTAAACTCCACACAGAAATGCCAACTGACACAGCTCGGATTCAAACCGGTGACCTTCCTGCTGTTAGGTCACAGTGCTGATCACTAAGCCACCGAGCCACCCACTGCCTAAAGGTGAGGCTGTAAAATATAGTATGCAAAAATACATGTTTGTGCTTGCTTCGTGCTGCTTGTAGGTCTCTGGTTGACCTGTTACAGCAGCTTTCACACTGGACACAGAAAGAGATGTGATATGATTGCAATGGCTTGGGTGTGTCAACCAAAGCTCTCAAGCAAGAGAACAAACATATAACCAGTTTGCACTAAAAATAGTTCAACTGCCACTGTTATTACTTAGAGTTAGAGGTGCAGAAGGTGATTGTCTTCGGAAGCATTTTTTTATTGTCCTGGTTGAAAGTCTCTTCACAGTCTAATAGTAACGATATAAGTAAATTATCTAAATGTATTCATATGTATTTTTATAGTTTGTGTAGGGCATAAAACAAAAAAAAAAATCATCCAATTAAATAGAGTTAGGCCGACATCTCTCATAATTCCGATAAGTAGCCCAAACTGTCTGTCAGCAACAATGCAGATCTGAACAACTGCGCAGCCGTTTGTACGCAGCTCCGCCATCCGATGTTTGTGCTGCGCGTTCACAAGAGAGGGAGAAAGCTCGCGCGCGATCAGTAAAAACCTGCTGAATCAAAACTTTTTAAAAACCTGAATCAATATTGCCTTTGCACATTGGAGAAAAGATGACACCATGGCTGAAGGATTTCTCTTAGACAGGTAATGTTCTGTTTTAAAACTGTTTTAGCTTTACGCATTGCTGATGTAACGTTAGATGTTGTTGTCACAAATGGGTTATATCGTCACAGAAGTGTTGTTTAGCCACTAAAATCTTCCAATGAAAGATAGATAAGACTATTTTCAGTTTCATAAGAGACCTTTTACAGCATCGATGATGTAGATTTTAATTAGTTTAAAAACAAAACACAAGTAAATACCGCTATTCTGCCTAGTCTCTCCCTATATTGTTTACCATGCAACTCTAAATATTTGCTCTGAAATAGCATGACAGTTTGGATTAGTGATGAGTGTAATTCCTGCACACCACCGGACAAGCACTAGTCGCTTTTAACATGAGAGAGGGTTTTTTGCTGTGCTCGTATTTCAGGAGGCGTGGCTCTAGACGACACAGGAGGGACTGCGATTCAAAGATTTATGCTAAGCTGTTAGCATTGTGGAAGATCACCTACTGCACCTTTAAGAAGTAACGGAGAACAAACCATACAGGAGTCAGTGAGAATACAATATATATACATATAAAATGTATACTATACATATATAGACTACAGCAAACATAATCAGTACTGATGATTGCAGAGCTGTCTTATTAAACACTAACCAAGGACAATAAATCATTACCAGCCATCACTCCATGATTAGCTAGATTACACAGTTATACTTTGATTATAAAACAAGTTTGTTATAAAAAAAAAGGTTTATATTAGGGCTGCCTGATATTGGAAAAATCTGACATTTTGATAATGAAACATCACGATACATCACAAGAAAACCATCCACAATATATCATATTTGTAAATTAAGAGGGAAAAATGCATCAAAGACCTAATGGGCCTGTATGATTATTATTTTTAAAAAGCAGTTTTATTTTTATTTTAGCAGTCAGCCTCAAGAGTCATATATCATTCTAAACAGGAGAACCTAAAGCTTCAATCGGTATCATTCAAAAGTCCAATCTAAAATATTGTTTAGTCTAAAAACACATGAACAGACAGATAAGTTTTCAGAATTTGAAAAAAAAAAGATAAAAAAGTAGCATTTTATAGTTATTACAAACAAAACCTCATGAAGTTTGCCTTTATTTATTTCTTAATAATTGCAACATTGATGAATGTTTGATCCACCATAACGATAAGTGCCACCTTATTCATATCAGACTATTTTGTCCTCCCCCTATTGAATAATCAAATGTAATGTAAAATGTAAACACTGTACATTCTTCAATGCTGATAAGATGCTGCAATGTGGTTATTGCGAATGCACACATTGCCATGTTAATGCTGAAACAATATATTGAGCAGCCCTAGCAATCTGATCATTTGTTTAGATTTTAATTTATTTTCACTTCACCTTGTGAATAAATGAACACAATTAACATTTCAACAGAGAAGACAATGCTCTTCAACACTGACATGTTAGGAATTGCCATTTGTGTAAAAAAGAAGGAAAGGATTACAATGCCTTCATGTAGAGATTTTGTACACTGACTTTGACTTTTTAAAGTCTAAAGAAAAAAAGAAAAGAAAACATATGCAAATTATATTTACAATGATTTGTGTTGTTCTTTAGAAAGTGCTTAGGTTTTACATATCAGACCAAAATAGTGTGACAGTGGATATTAAATCACTTAAGTTTGCCCGATTCAGCATGTAGAACAAAAACTGAAGTGACAACAGAGCAAATGACACAAGTCAAGAAGCATCACAAAAACTGGATGTCAACTAAATGAAAAAGACTTCACTTAGAAAATCAGACAACAATCACATGAATTAATCTCTTTCTTTTTATGTAAATGGGTTCAAGCATACAAAACTATTTCACATGTTATCACACATCCCTAGCAGCAAGTACTGTGAAAATTGTATGTAAATGTTTATAATCTGTATGTGTGTAGCACTAGATCCGGTTTCACTTTGTGAAATGTCAATCCATACTACTACAACCTACAAGAATGTCCTGGGCTTTAAAA